TGAGTTTCAAACTTAGAATTCAAACATTGATTTAAATCAAGCATGAACAAATAATTCTCAACTTTGTCCTGGTGCCCTATTGGATGTTGAAGAGAGACGGTGACATGAGCTTGCAATCTGATTGGCAATGCTGATGCATAAACAAATGCAGAAACAAAAATCAATGACACTAAACTCCAGAACCTCCATGTGCCAGTTTTCCTGTTTAATTATTTATCTATTAATTAGACATGCTTTGTCATTGCACTAGAATTTTCCTCTTTTTCCTTTTTTTTTTGCAGCCAACTATTCTACTATTGGAGAGCACACACTAATCTAACACACCTCACCCTTGGATTCACACACTCCTGAAAACCTTGATCCACTTCACTGGATGTGTTAAATTAGGCTCTGGAGGAGGGCAGGCGTACAGGAGGAGGGCTGGAGACATTTGCTGCATATTAAGTGGCAGTGATATGCATGAAGGATGAAAACATCTGCTAACAAGCTTTGGTGTTTTCCTGGTTTCTCTCTGGATACCTTTAAACAAAATAAAATACATTTTTAAATAATTTGGAAGTTTTCATATGTGAATTGTGCACTAAATAATAAACTGCTTATAAACCTTTGCAGGCCAGCATGCAGTGCTCATAAAGGATCATTGCCCCAGAATGACTGATGAGCAGTTTAGGTGATCAATAATTGTAGGGACTGATTGTGCTTTTGGACTCAGCGTCAGACCATGTCCTTAAACTTACATTAGCCCTCTGTGTGAGGTAGCCAGGTCTATAGCATATAGTGTATATATTGCAGCTTGATATCAGCCAATAAAGATTATAGATGCTCTTTTAAAATTAAAAATAGGATAAAGTCATTTCTCCCTTTGGTGAGAAAAGGGTCAAAGGTTAGTTGTTGTTTTTCTATCAGAGGCCGGCTAAGGATGTTTGTCTGAGATATGCTGGGGTGCTTGAGACAGCTGCACGTGAACTGATTAATTGAGTGGGAAAAAAGTGAATTCAAAGGTCTTGTAAGGATGCTGAATTATTCAGAAACAAAAACAGTCTGAGCACTTCAGAAAAATCATAGAAACCATTAAAGTTTTCTGTTGGTTCTTTGTGGTTTTGTGATGATTTTCAATGGCAAGAAATGCAATTTTGTGGCATCATAATATAAAGGATTCTAATAGTTTATCAAATTTTAGATGCATTATGGATTAATGGGACCTAAAGGTGTTCTACAGGAAACTAGTGGGGGCGGAGGTTGTACCGTTTTTTTTTAAATGTCTGCATGATACATCTTTGAGATGTAAACAAAGTCATTCATAGTGGTTTGATGTGAAATGCTCCATTCTAGAGAAACCAACTTAGATTTCTTTACAGTGGTGATAATAGGAACGAGGAGTCAGAATTCTACATTTACGGCGTTTGGCAGACGCTCTTATCCACAGCGACTTACAATTTGATCAATTTTTACACAGGTAGGCGAAGGTAGTGTTAGGAGACTTGCCCGACTCTTTTTGGTATAGTGTAGGGTGCTTACCCAGGCAGAGGATTGAACCCCAGTCTACAACGCAGAGGTGTTACCCACTACACTATACCAACTACAATACAACACAAATATAGCAATTCTATTTACTACACACAAAAGATGGTCCTTCAAGGGTTCTTGAGTAAAGACAGTGGTTCTATATAGAAACATGAACATTCAAAGAGCCATTTGCATGCTTAAATGGCTGTTTGCATGGTGAAATCATTCTTCAGATTCATGGAGAATGTGCTGTATATTGTTCTATTAACTATCTTTTCGAAAAGCGTTCTTCTATTGTCGTGAGCTTGACATAGTAATAACAGAAGAAACTTTGAGGTGCTAAATTGAACTATAAACAACACATTCTCCATCAATCTGAAGAATGATTTCACGATTTTCACAACGATTTCTTTGAGTGTTCATGGTTCTTTGTAGAACCATTTTCTTTACTAAAAAACCCTCGAAAAAACATCTTTTTAAAGAGTGTATCCAAAACCACCAATGAACCTACATGTGTTTTCTGAGTTTTGTATGGTATGGAGTGAATGCTGGTATGGAGTAAAATAGTGGTGAATCTGAAAAAAAGCTTTATTTGGGTGCTATTTTCCACCCATCAAGTAGCTCTCCACAACGAATGGATTTGAAAAATTATGTTTTATGCCGAACCCTTATCTTAAAACCAACATAAAAGGTCTTAGGGCCTAGGCAAAGCATTCATAACAATTACATGTAATCACTTTAACATTTTAGAGGCATTCAACTTTTTCAGACGTCTGGTTCCTATCACCGCCACTGTGACAAAATTCTGTCTAGTTTCTCTAGAATGGAGCATTTCATATCAAACCACTTCGAATGACTTTGTTTACATCTTTACACTTGAATTGTAAAGAAATTCTGAAAAATCTCTGAAAATTTTCCTTTAAGCCATTCAGATTGGATTCCTATGGTTCCAGTGGGCTTTTTTCAGCATGATTATACAAATCAAACATAGTGATAAAGCTAATATGATTAACATACTATAGTTAAAATATGGACTTACATGATGCATGTGAAAAAAAAGGAAAAGTTATCCTCTGTTACAGAGATGTTTACTGCCCATTTGTGTTTCAGCAGGTCCAACATCTGACTAGCAACATGTAATGCCCCCTAGTGGAGCTCACCAGAAACCTTCTGAATTTACCAACTTGCCGGACTGATCCCAGTTCAGATTAAAGAACGCGCTCACTGTGACATTTTCACACGGGGCAGCATCTGCTAATCTCATCCATAACATTAGTTAGCCAAAGTACCACAAAAAGGTTGCTCACCCCTCCAGTGTGCATTTTCCCAATGAAAAGGTTTTAATTAAAATAATGGAAGTGGCAAAGGAAGGAAGTAGGTTAACTTTGCTGAATTGGGATTAAGTCTAGATGTCAGTCATCACCTGTAAAAAGAGAATGACCAACGCAGGCCATCGGGCCGTCTCTCTCTCTCTCTCTCTCTCTCTCTCTCTCTCTCTCTCTCTCTCTCTCTCTCTCTCTCTCAAGATAGGATCCATTTCCTCCAGGTTGCCCTCCTCCAGTAGTTTGGAGCTGAATGTAGCTACTGCCCTCTGCTGAGCAACCAAACAGAACAAATTCAAAATCATGGCTTCTTGGTGGATAAACGTAGTTTCAGAAAGAGAAGATTTGCCTGTGACCAGTTAACGTTAAAGCTCTCTGATACCCTACACTGTCTAATGTACTGTAACATGATTACAAATGAACCGAGAGGGAGAACAAACTGCTGGTTCAGGCTATCGATGAGAAAATTAACCGCTAAGAAATCAGACCAATTTATCATCATTTGGTATTTTAAGGACTATTTAGTATCGCAAAGAAACCACTTTCATTTTCCAGTTGACTCAAAAATATTCTTTCCATGGTCACGACAACGGAGAGTGTATGGACTGAACCACGCACTGGAGTAGGAGGCTTTCTCAACTGGCGCGACGGTCTGTGCGAAAATCTTTTAATATTTTTAAGGAACGAAATATATTTCAGCATTCAGTAGAAAAGTGAGCTTCACATCTTTTCTTGACGAAAATAAACTGGCGAAGAGAAATGGGTAATGTAATGAAATATGTCAGCAGTTTCCCCCTACAAATAGTTTTGGACGCGCCCATTGACAACCGAGCATGGAGATGTAGGGTGTCGGATACCTCCTGCTGGCCTCAGCGATGATGGGCTTACAAGTGTTTGTTTGAGAAACGATGGAGTCGATTCTGTTCTCTGAAGAGTCAAAGATACTGATGTGTTGTCAGATAAGCCTTTTAAAGAGCGTGCGGTAAGCTCTCTAGGCTGACGGACACTTTCAAGGATAGCTTACTTTGAAAGTCTCGTAGTTACAGGAGGTTGTATGTGTACTTTTACTTGTTTTTTCCATTAGCCTAACTGAGGACACTCCTCTCCTCCAACATAAGCCAGACGGACCAAGCCTACTTTGGTCAAAAAACGGTGTCGCTCGCTTCTTTTCAACTTCTTCACGGTAAGTTGACGTTTCTTTTAAGTTCATACCAAAATTATAGGCTGTATTTTTAATTTATGCTCGACCACCTGTCAGTGAAAGGGCACTTTCCTGTCTTAACGTTCAGTGTTTAGCCTTTAGCTTTAACTTCTAGCAGAATAGTAAATTCTAAACCAACGTCATTTAACTCAAATATGAAAATATGAGTGAGCCCAATATCTTTATTTTATCATAATCATAATCTCTAACTGTTATGCACAGTGAAGGGCGGATGGTAGGTGTGGCGTGAACGTATTTATCCATTAATGATCCAATTCAGATGGATTTATGAGGTCAGCTTGGAGATTATGTTGATACTATGAAGTATGTTCCTGCGCCTTTGAAATCTGTTCATAAAATAGGGCGGGGTGTCATTTAAGTAATGCAGCAGGTGTGATTAACACAGTCTGTGCTCCACTTCCAGTGTTTCTATTGTCACTCATCACTTTTAATTCTCACTGACAGAAGAAATTCAGCTGTAACAATATTAGTTATCAAAAATGATGCTTTAGAAAAGAGTGCAGTTTTGTGTACCTATTGAATTGCACCTTGTATTATGTCATTGTTTGTTAGGCATATTTGTGACTAATTGCTGTTGTGCTGAGGTCACCTCAGGGGTCACAGCATGTCCCCACAACAGGAGCAGTGGTCGATTACTCATGTTTAAGCAATTAAGTCCCTGTAGAGGCATGCAGTCAACCTTACAGCGAGCCTAGTTGACCCTTTGCGCTTATTTTGGCTCAGGCCTACATGAGACAAATCAGTTTCTTATTATACAGCCTTGACAGATGCAGTCAACATAAGGCACATTGTTTTTTTGCAGTCTATTCACTTCTCTGGAGCAGTCAATGAAAACTTATGAGACGACCTTTCGACGCTAGGTTTGACATCAATCTATTCTGGGGAAGAAAAAAAACTCCCAGAACTCTGACGGGCGAGCGTGTGAGCTGTTTGTTTTAGTGACATCTTATGGTCCAGTGGAGCAGGAGAAAGACATTGGATTTCTGTGCTGCTGATCTTTTGACACCTGTCAGGATGGATTTTGGTTACCCTGCTTTTTGGGGATGGGGACTTAATGAGGCTCAACACAGATGCAAACACAAAAAGGTTAATGGAGTTGATGTTTTATGCATGATGGGTCAGAGATGATTCCCTGCTACTGTACAGCCACCGGGAGAATTGCACCGAGGCAGCTGACGTGTTCAAACCCACACAGTGTGTCACTGTGTTTCCAGTGAAAGCGCCTGTGGTGGAAGTGTGCCTGAGTAGGAGGACAGAAAACTCTGGAAGTAGGTTTCGTAGTAGGTAAGAAACAGGATTACGTAGTGTTGTAGTTGTTAAAGAAATGCTACAGTTGTTTTAAATCTAATCTATATCTGCTGCATTTGTAGTATACAGTCAATTACCTGGTGCAATAATTTACTTATTTTGTTTATTAGAAAACGAAAACCTGTTGACAATGATGACAGTGGGCATGTTCTTTAAGCACCTGCCCTTTGGCTTCTATTATAAGTGAGTTTTGGTCAATCGGTTTTCGACTCATTTACACGTACCGGGTAGTGAACTATGTGCAGATGCAGATAGATACAGATGATAGAGATTAGGTTAAAAAACAGAAGTATTAATTTAATAAAGTTAAGGACGTTCTGTTGGAGTGTGGAGCTCAGTAGTTTAAAGGGGAGATTTGACTCGTGCAGTAGACTGGTTAGGAAATGCATGTTGCGTGATGGTGGCAGCGTACAAAAGAACATCCTATTAGCACGGACAACATGGAGGAGGACTATGCGCTTGGAATGTGGGCTGCTGTGAGCGGAGACAGAGTGACAAAGACATGCACTCATGGCCTAGAGAGTGGCACTGCTTCAGTCGTTGTACTCTAGAGGCTGGACTACCAAAACAAAGACCTTTTTACCACTGAATCTACGAGTTGCACCCAAAAAAAAACAGAGCATTTGCACGGCGGAATATTTTAGATATTTAGTCATGTTGATATTTTTGACACATAATCTCTTGTGACTGAGACTTAAAACATGCGGTTCAGTGTAGTCAAAATGGTCATTCAGCAAAAGATTTCAAGCATGCATCATGTAAACAGATTATTATTCCTAAATAGAAAGAGGGAAAAAAATCTCAAGCATGCATCAACAGTATCAAAATGCAGCCATTTTCAAATAACTAAACACAAACTCTACTCACTGCAGTGTTATTGGAAAGCACAACAAGCCATTTTTGGTAAGGGGGCGTTGAACGGGACTTTCTGTGCTATGGTTAACATCATTTCTGTCTGTTGAAACCAAAAGGTACATAGTAGGAACACATATGGAATTTGCAAGCTGCTTTTGCAGAGATGTAGCTTTACAAGCCTTATGTTGCTTGCATTGCTCGCAAAGGCAGCACCTATAAAACGGTAGGCTTGAGACCTGTGAGGCACAGGTCACTGCAGAATCCTGGGAAATCCTGGGAAATTTGGGCAGCATGACATCTGTTTTCCACTCCCAGGGATCTGTAGTGGGTCTTTTTACAAACTATGCTTGCTCAGAAATGGTGATTAGATGTGCAGTCACAAGTAGATGCTCTGTGTTTTTCCCCACACAAATTTTGTGCTATGAACAGCTTTTTTTACACGACCACTTCAGAAAATGTGGTCTATTTTCGACTTCCTCATCCATTTTATACTGAGTTCCGTTCTGATGTTGAGTCATACGGAACACATCTGCCTAAATTTCAGCTGTATAGTTGCGCCACCTCTGTGACGTTGTTATTTTAACTAAAATAGGGCCTGTGGGGACCCTGGCACTTTTTCCATGTGACTCCATTTTGAGTCTGCATTTTTGTTCTTCTGACTGGAAAGTTCTGGGTGTCTTGTGGCTTGCTGAGTGTTAGTGGGAAAGGAGGAGGGAGCAGAAAACTCCACCCATGTTTATGTCTGTCTCTGGGCTGCCAAGGACCTGACCAGCAGCTACATGTGACTCTCATTCTAGGGAAGAGATGTATGTAATCATGCTCCTGTTCAGATAACAGAGTGAGTGAAACTACTGGAGAAGGCACTGTGGAAAAAAATATGAATGCTGCAAATACAGTCTTGTGTCTTAATCATGCCATCTTTTGATGCTGTAGTGCAGGACGAACAGTCCCGGCTCATTCAAGGATAAGAAGCCTAGCTGTGCAAAGTGCAAAATAGGGCCTTTTTTTTAATAGGAGCAGCAATTTTTAGCTGTGCGTAGCCATACAACAAACACTCTGTCTTAGAAACAAGAAAATGGCACAGTACATCTTCTGCTTCTGCGGAGTTTATTTCCTGCCAGCAAAATTAGGACTATACCTAGCCTCATTTGTTGTTGTCACGCCAAATCCTGTACTGACTGCAAGAGCCATGGCAACAGCAGACATGCGTCAAGATTGATTCAAATCCGATTATAGAAAATTGTAAATAAGTAAGACATTAAGGACAAGAGACAAACATGGAAAGAAGAGAGGACAGGACAGAGCACACAGGCACACATGACCGTTTCTCTTTCAGTCCAATAAAGCTTTTATGGGTTAACTGGAGGGTGTAGGCTGAATTATATAACCTATCATTAAATTTTGCCAGCCACCTCTCCTCTTATGTGGTTTCCATATAATTTCATGTATGCTATTCGAACACCTCTGTCCCGCTGCCTAGGAAACTGGGATCTCAGTGTAATTTATTTGTTTATTTGTTTATTTATTTTTGGGTCTTTGTGACCGGGGGGAGGGGGGATACTATTTGGATTTGGATTTATTTTTTTTTTCCTAGCTTGCATCTGAAAATACAGTCAGTCTTTCTATCATTTACACATACATGTTAAACAAGACCCTCCAAGAAAAAGAGAGAAAAAGGAAAACACTTCATGTAGCTGTGAAGACCAATGGTGGATTTGCATACTCACTCTCATCTTTCACGTCTCCTTGGAGCCAGGTCTGCCTCCAGATGTTCTAGACAGCTGGCACAGCTGGACCTCCAGGGCTGTTAGCTTCAGATCCTGCATTTTCAGCAGTTCTTGAATGCTGCACATGGCACATTCTCACTGGTGCTGAAAGATCCAGGATTTGTTTTTCACTGTCAAATGGCGCAAGACAATGGTGTGATGTTTAGAACCCTTCCTGAGTTTTTCAGTCCTTTCATACAAAGCTTCATGGGTTAGGTGGTAAACCGGCAAAGGCGAACGAATCTAGGCAGTGTCATTTCAGCAGGAGCTGCTTGAATTTAAGTTGGCACAGCATAAGCAAAAGATGTACAGGAGGCATCTGAATTAATAGACTTTAGAAGTATTGATGTAGTGTCTGTATGGGGTTCATAGATTTGAACTTGAAGAATGTAGAATGCAGAAGATTTGAGCTGTAACGCAGAAGATTTGAGGAGCATGGTACCTTGTCTTCTTGCCCTCTGCACACTCATGGGTCAGTAAAATGATGTGCACTTCTTGGTGTCCATTATTTTACTATTAAATAATAAAATAAACATATTAATAAAGACATATATCTTCACAATGTTATATTAAGTAATTTATGTGAATATGTTTTCAGTGCATCAAAGTTGAATTAATTTTAGGTATTTGTACATTTTTATTATGTCTCAAAATGTCAGGTGGTGCAACCATCCAACCATATATGCTGATTAAGTAAACTATTAGAAACGGTAGTCATATAAAATTTTAAATAAAATTGATTGGTATGATTTTCAGTTTGAAACCTTTAGAACTGCAAAACAGGTCAGGTTCAAAGTATTCAACTCATTGAAAAACTTTGATCTGTAATTACGGATTTTTTCTAAGTGTCATACAGTGCAGCACTTTTTTATCAAAGGACTTTTATTTTGACATGCTTTTAAAGAGTGGGCATCATAAAGAAAACCCAAGTGTTCTTAATAGATCCTTAGCCCTTTGAATTTTACCAAGTCAGGTTGTACAACCTCAGATGGAGTAGTGAAAAATGCTTTATGGGGTAAATAATTATTCATGTTTGGGGAAAGAAATGTTACTTAACCTACTGATTGTGATTTTTGATCTATTTTTAATATTGTCAGGTGGCACAACTGGTCATTGTCATTTGGGGCAACCAGAGAAAATATATATATTTAAACAAAAAATGAGAAGTTGAACTGCTTAATTAGGTTAAAGCTGTAACTGCAACAACTTATGTAATGTGTACATGTTTTGTGCTTAATAATTTATTTTCTTATGTCATTGACCCACATATACACACTCACATTCTACAAATACAAGTCTATGCGGGATGGCACCAAAATACCATACAGTTAGGACTGCGGGTTCTTATTGTCTGGCTGGTAACTCACACTGTCTTGATGGTTTCCTAGGTTATTTAGTGCCAGTCGTGACCTTTTGTAAGAATTGTCTCTTCTCCCACATGGCCGTTACCCCCCACCATCAAGAAATCAATAAATTCGCACCTTAATAAGGTATTAAATGGTATCCATGGATACTGAACTCCACTCCCTCATCTCGCTAGGGTAACACGGTTTCCATCTGGCTGAATCTTTGTGTGCCAGAAAACAAAAGAAAGAACAAAAAAACTTTTGTATTGCAAGGGAAATATTAAAAAGGCAGCACAAGTGTTTGAAACGTCTACTATTGTTCTTTCATAATGTACCTTTTTGTATGTCCAGAGAGAGAAACCCAGGCACAGGAGTGATTGACCAGAGGAGTTCTGGAACAGTCCACAGGGGTGTTCCATCATGGGTAAACAGAACAGCAAACTGCGTCCTGAAGTCCTGAATGACCTGCGGGAAAACACAGAGTTCACAGACCACGAGCTGCAGGAGTGGTACCGGGGCTTCCTCAAAGATTGCCCTACTGGCCACTTAACTGTGGAGGAGTTCAAGAAAATCTATGCCAACTTCTTTCCTTATGGGGACGCCTCAAAATTTGCAGAGCATGTTTTTCGTACATTTGACACCAACGGTGATGCCACCATCGACTTCCGGGAGTTCATCATTGCACTGAGTGTGACGTCACGCGGAGGCCTGGAGCAGAAGCTCCGCTGGGCCTTCAGTATGTATGACCTGGATGGAAACGGATACATCAGCCGGGCTGAGATGCTGGAGATAGTACAGGTGAGAGAAGAGTACTGGCTACAAAGAAGCTGCTTTGATGAAATATATGTAATTATCGTGCTGTTTATTCTTCTCTGATAAGCACATCAGCACAAGATTTTAATAACCCTTGTTGCTTCAGAAAAAGCTTTTCTGATAAAGTCTAGTACTTATGAAAAAAATACTCTGAGAAGCTTCTGGAAATGTTATGATTTTTATTCTTTTTCTAAACCAAGCATGTGTCCTGCTGCTTTCCTTTTCGTTCCTCTTTTGTTTATTTCATTCCTCTATTTGCATTTCTGTATTTGCTCTGTAAGTTGTCGTTGCCAGAGCAGCTTGTTCCATATCAATATTGGCTCAGTTGAATGTTTGGCGATATAGCCCTCCTGAATAAACACATCTCCTCAATCAAGTGTTCCACAGGCCATATGTTCCTGCCAAAAGTGGTGATTAAGTACAAAGGCTCTGTTCCTCACTTTTAAAAAAAGCCTGTTGACTCTCTATAGATAGTTATCATTCATACTCAGAGAATATTCTACAGAAAAAGAACTTCAGAAAATAATAATGACTGGCCATTACTGTTAAAAGCACAACCAGTTGATGTTTTTGTTCAAACACCACAGGCTATTTACAAGATGGTGTCATCAGTGATGAAGATGCCAGAGGATGAGTCAACCCCTGAGAAACGCACCGACAAGATTTTCAGACAAATGGACACAGACAACGATGGTGAGCTGTCCTTATCTGACTCGTTTTAGTCTGTGCTTCCTGAGAGTTCCTGAGACTTTAAAGTAGGGTTTAAGGTAACAGAATTTTATATCTTTTGAGCATTTACCCTTTAGTCAGCAGTAAGTATCTCAGCAAAGACACTAAGGGGCACATACAGCCTACAGCTGAGATTCAGACAGGAGTCCCAGCTGTGCTACCATTTGCTGTCTGTGGCCTCAGACATTCAAGGACATAACTGGCTGCAAATGAGAGGGAAAACACCAGGGTTCCTCTCTCTCCTGTGAAATATTACTTAACTAGTCTGACATCTGTGAGTCCAGTGCTTAGTGTCCTCCAATCAGGAGCTGGACAAGGCTATGTTCTCCATTGATTATACTGATGTATCTGACCCTAGCGGGTGGACAGTTGTTTGTAGGGGAAGCTGTCGCCATGTTCTCTTGGAACTGTGGTCTTATTGCCTGATATATGAAAGATTAGGCCTGTCACAATGTTTACATAATCTCCTCATTGCAATTATTAGAGGAGATTTTTTAAAATATAGTTTTCATAGTCATATGTTTACATCACAATAAACAGAATAAACAGGTGTGGATCTTGGAAAAACAGAAACATTTAAAAAAAAGTCTAACTCCTCATTGGTGCTGTATGGCCTTTAGAGGGCAGCGGTGAGTAATGTTTATTTGAGCTCAAGCTGTCTGTCATCTGTTGGGAGCTACTAAGTATGGACAGTGAGAAGGCCAGTTTGGCCACTTTAGGCTTGTACTTTATTGGCTGCATACAGTGAACAAGAAAAAACAATTAAATTGCTATCACTTACATGGCAGTTAATCGTCTGCTAATATTTCAAGATAGTGACAGGCTGAGGAAAGGCCTACTTTCGTGGAAACTGGCTAAACCAGGAGGGGGGAACATAGTCTCAACACTTTTTGCATTTTCACAATTTTAACAGATTTTAGGAACAATTATGTAAGTGTAATACATTTTTTGTGTTAAAAAAAGCAATGAAAATGGAAATGAATTTGTTAGTTTTAAAACTAACATAAAACCTCGATTGGGAGAAGTGGATATTATGTTGTTTGTTTTCCCAACTTTTGCTGTCAACTGTGGCAGTGAAATAAACCAGATGCCATGAATTTATGGATAGGCTGCCCTGTATTGTTCAAAAAGCATAATTTCAGCATGACTGAGCTGTAGGCTGGAAAGGTGGTTATAAGTAAGTGTACTGGTTTTCATGACCTTTTGCAGCTTATTTTTCATTTATGCCCTAAATAGACTGGGGAGTGAAGGGTATGAATGGTTTTGAAACTGTAGCAATGTTTACATACTGTATCAAACTCTTTTACCTCAAAAATGGGAGAAAGAAATGTTATTTCATAATATAGGCTCTTTAAGAGAGTACAGTGGTCTTTGTAACTGGTCAACTGCAGCTACTGCTTGTTTAGCATACATATTAGAAATTAAACATACAAAGGAACACTGGTGTACGTTCAGAATATTTAGCTTTTATGCCCAAAAGAATGTGGAAATAACCCCAGACTGGTTATGAAATGACTAACCCTTAACCTCTTTACATATTGCAGGGAGACTTTCCCTTGAGGAGTTCATCAAAGGTGCCAAGAGTGATCCCTCTATCGTCAGACTGCTGCAGTCCGACCAGAGCTCCTCTCGCCAGTTCTGAAAGTAGCCAAGCAGCAGCGCTCACAGGAAACCCTGCCACATGCCCTCAGGAAGATCAGCTTATTGCTCTCCAAGACATGGGCTGCATTTGAGTAACAGATCTACATCGATCACAGTAGAGTACGCATATGTAAATCACACAGTCTGAACAAAATCTATTACTCAGATGCACTCAACTGTCATTTTATGGTTCTCGCCCACTCATAGTACATTCTTGAGGTTGTGGTGAAAGTGGCTACTGTTCCCTGATCTGTGTCCCTTGATTTTCAGAAGGCAAGCAGTGTACGAGCTGTAGTTTTGCATGTCAGAGTAACAGATTTTAACTGGTTCAGTTTATAATTCCACAGTGAAATGATAAGTCAGAGCCCTGAAAAGCAATTTTTTGTACATCTTGAAATAAAATAACCAGTCATTTTTGAAAAGTCTTAAAAGGTCCCATTCTGGATATGCCACATGTGCAAGTTGTTCTTTATTTTAAACTTAATATGCAAACATGCATGGATAAGCAGCACGTAGTAAAGTACCACTTGCATGACAGAGTCCAAAAATCCTGATGACATACAGGTGCATGATCGATGGGGTTCTGGAATTAATCTACATCCATTTATGGACATAGTACAGTAAATCTTTCAGTGTTTAGTCTTGTTTCAGACTTGTTAAAACATCTAGTGTCTGGACAATTAATGCTTTTTGCCAGCTTGCGTATTTTCATAGTTTAGACATCTGCCAATACATTATGCTTTGTCATGGGTGAATTGCCAAAACTAGCATTTGTGTTGTGATTCTGTAATTATATTTGAGGTAAGCAAGAGGTGTAGTGATAAAAAGTTACAGTGCTGTGTCCGTGTAGCTAGCATTGGAATATCCAGCCGTACTGTTGTCAGAAAAGTATGGGACCGCAGCTTACCCACTGAACGTTGCATATTCATTTGTATGAATTGCATATTGAGGCATCAATAAGCCATTATTTAAAATAGTTTAGAGCACAAACATTCACAAAGGTGAAACTTGTTTGAAGTATGTCATATTGGTGTTTACATCCATAATAAAATTCAGTCAGTTCATTTGTGTTCTTTTTTTATTTTCATAACAAAAAACATCAAAACAAAGTTGTGTAAGAAAAATCTACACAATTCCCACGTTGTTCCCTGTCCAGCACAAACACAGTGGAAATCGGGGGTACTGACGCATTGACTTCCTTCTCAGAAATATTTGAGAAAAAACAAGTATGTCACATTGATGGGGAGAATGAAAATGAACAGGGCTATCTACAAAATTCAGCTCTAAAGATATTACCCATACATGGCAGTAAGTTAGGATATAAACTTACATTCAGTAAACTAGTGCTTCCTGTTCTTAAGAACACTCCCTAAAGACAGAGAAAGTCCATGTGTCAGCTAACTCATTCTGTCAAATGTGCTATTTTATTCAGTGTTGGCAGAGAAATGGATGTCACTGGAAAGATGCAGCTTAGGAAAGTATTCTGGGTGAGATTTTATCAGAACTGAAAAAGCATGAACCTCATTTTGCAGCTGTGTGTTTTGGAGAGAGGACAACTGGACAGAGAAAAGTGACATTACATAAACCTGCTTATCATCCTCACTGGGAGATCAAATCAGCCAGCCAATCAAATGTAAAGGAGGTGTGTGAGACAAAGTTGAGTTCAACCATGATTTAATCCCTGATCCCCTCATTTCAAACTAGTGGAGAGAAGTTAAAAGCAACACGACTTCGTTTCAAGAGTGTACAGTAACTTAATGTCCTAGATTTCCCCTCATCCACAGGAGAGGAGAGATGGGTTATGGGCTGAGTCTGTGCGGTCTTGACACCAAACTAGACCAGCCCTCCCAGCCAACCAACTCATAATTCATCCTTCTCCAGATCATCCAGATCCACATCGCTCAGGTCAATGTCATCCTCCACAGGAAGCTGAGAGAGAGAAGAAAAAAAGAGGAGAATTTCTCACTCGTAAAACTAAATGTAACCTTTTAGAACACCAGATGACACATGGAACAAGGCGAAGAAAACAAGGAGGGGAGGGAATGAATGAATTAAGGAATAAATACATAAATAAATAAATAAAAACACTTCTACTCACAACTCCATCCTTCCCATCCCAGGCTTCAACAGCATGGATCTTTGGCAGAGCTCCACCTCCTACTGTGGAAGTCGAGCCACGTCCCACAGAGAGATCCCTATGAGGAGACAAAGAGGATTCAGTAAGATATCCTAGATCCTATAAGAACACTTAAATGACAATAGGCCTCATTCACCACTATCTTCCCAAGTTTTTTTTTCTTAAATTTGATCTTGAGAAAGGTCCTAAGAAAAAGTCTGTCAGATTCATGTGTTCTTAAACTGCAGAACTGTTCACACCTTTGTGCTCTTGGTGTGTGTAAATTTAGTTTTTACCTAAGAAGAAATCTCAAATAAGAAAATGGTAATGAACATCAGAATTTTCGTAAAGACTGCATACATTGGTTTTAAGAAGAAATTTCTTATTAGGAACGGTTGGTGAAAGAGGCCTAATGTGATTAAATATTGGAACTGAATGAATGAATGAATACCTTAGGAACTCATGGATTCCTGTCTCACTGAATGAGCCCTTCAGAAGAGCAAACTTCATCTTGCGAGCATTAATAGCTGCCATGGCAGGGTAGCCAAAACCACCTATCCCCAGAGAGGACTCCAGCTCCATCTGAGCTCCAGCTTCAGTCCACAGCCAGCTGCAGTATGAGAGACAAATGCATTTTTATTTGAACGTCTAGTATAAAAATGTTTCATTAACATCATGTTCTTAAGGTCAAATGATCTCTCTTACAAGATGATACCAATCATCCTGATTATTAGGACTGAACAATTTTGGGAAAATATCTAATTTTTCTGACCAATTTTATGACTAATTCAAATTGCCATTATTTTCTATAAATTACGGTCCAGGCATGCTATTCTGGCAAAGAACACAAGAATATCCACTTGTTCTGGCTTGAATGCTGAATAAAAAGCACAAGTATGCCTGTTGGTTGTGTTGTCGTGTACAGAGCACATGGGTGTTTTAGTTGCTTTTACTTGGTATAACTTATTCACAGGCAGTTGAAAAGCTGTGTTATTTGGTTAGATTTCCTCAATTCTGAAATAAAAAAGGATTAATATTTTAGCCCTACTGACTATTCCAGGATTGCAGCACAATTTTTAAAATATCAACTTAAATGCGTCTTAATACCGCTTTAAGAAATGAAAAAACAAAGCATGTTAGTGTCTGCTGTATTCGAACAGTGGTCGACTTTTTTTTTTAGTGGACTGTCAATTAGTACAAGTTTAGCACACACAATGCCTCTTCAACCTCTTCAAGACTTGTGTTGACCCTGTACTCCACATAGAAAGGCACAAAACACATACTGACCCCCACATCTTTTTCTTGTATTTCTCAGCCATCTTCATCATCACTTCCAGATAACCATTTCTACCTGCTGCACCTACACATACAAGAAGAAACAGAGTTAGTAAATCATTGTTAGTTGAATATGAAAAAGACACAATGCTTTATAACCTCCTAGATATTTGAAATAATACCAGTTCTACTAATATTATGGCCATAATTGGCTGAACCGCAAATGCATATATGTGTGCTAAATAATTTAGTGTAAAACTGCACCTTACATGAAAATAAACAAGGTCAAAAATCAAAAATAGGTTACTCATACCTGTGTCAAGAATATGAGGCAACACAGCAATCACACAAAGCTGATGGTCCTCACAAGTTTTCTTCAAGATGTCCTCATTCAGAATCTGAAAAGTAAAATGGTTTCACATTCTCAAACAACTGTTTTCATCAAATGGGGAGTGGGGGAATACTTTTCCCCTAATAGCTTAAATTTTTAAACCAAAGTAACTGTAGAAGGATGCACAGATAGACAGCCTGACCTCCAGCAGTTCTGGAGGAGGGGCGTTGTCTGAGTAAAGGTCCATGGCACGGGCAACAAGGTCTGAGCGAGTGCGTCCACCCTGGTAGTCTTCTGGCTCCTCTCCTTTACGGAAAATCTTAATGGTAGGGAATCCTCTGATCTGTAAAATGAAGCAAGTTAATGAGTATTAGCAAGACTAAGAAATACCTGAAACAACACAACACAAAAGCATTTATGTATTTTGTACAAATGATTAAAGACAGTGACAGTAAAGGTAGCATACTAAATCTTACAGGGTCAACAGTTTTTAAGAAAGATGTAACTTTTGATTCTTTTAGCAAAAAAAAACAAAAAAACAATGGTATCAATCAGAATTACCCCATAGCGGCTTGCCAGGCCCTGCTGAACAGTAGCATCTACAGCTCCCAGCTTCACTCTGCCATTGGTTTGTTCTTTGACCTGAGTAGCAGCGGCTGTCCATTCAGGTTCCAGACTGAAAATATCAAATTAGAGATGAAAACCCAAAACCCAGATTATAAAAACAACCACTTCATAACAGCATTATAAATGGGACAAATGTCTGTCAATTGAAGGTCCTTTATGTCAAAACAATCCAATTTACCTAATAAACCATTTTATGTAATTTTGCAGATACAGACATAAGCTGTTCAAGTTTTTTAAAAGTCATGATTTTTAAAAGTCATGTAGTGCTTATGCACACCCTTATGTAGGTGGCTTTCAAATAAAGTGTTAACACATTTTAACCTATATGGGATTACATGGCCTTCAATGTATTAAAATTATTATGATTTCTATGCAAATAATTTGACAAACTTACTTCTTGCAATGTCCACACCATGGTGCAAAAAACTCTACCATCCAAACATCATCACTGTCCAAAACCGTCTGGTCAAAGTTATCATCAGTCAGCTCGAAAACGTCTTTCTTATTACCACCACTGCTGCCACCAGAACTCTGAAATTGGCAGAAAGGCAACATAAGAAATGAAATAAACCTAGATGAGAATGCAAAACATCAGGGACGTAGTTAGCCTGCTAGAAGAGGTGGGCCTTCTTTCGAAAAGCAAAGCTTTATTAATTACAAGCACAGTGTATCTGATGTAGATTGGCCTTTAACCTAATACTACTATTACATTATTAAGCATATCTATTAGACAGGACTTTTCCTGTCTTCAAGCAGATTTTTGCACTTTACATTGTCCTTGTTTTAAAAATATCTATATATATATATATATATATATATATATATATATATATATATATATATATATATATATATATATATATATATATATATATAAATAAATAACAACAAGAGGGCAAGGGCAAAATATAGTTACTTCAGTAAAGCGTCTGCTGTAACAAAATGTTCTCAGGACTCTATATATCACTATATATCATAAAATGATCTCAAATTTAGGAAATGTAACCAATTTCACTGAAAAAAATAAAAAAAACTGATACCTATAAATTTTTAATGGTGAACAGTAATAGTCTGTTATAGTCTGTAAAGAGTACTACCATTTTCAGCCAGATTTCAAGCTAAAACCTCTACTAAATGAGCCACTGTATAACACAAGGCTACCCACAAAAGGACTTAATTCCCAAACAGGTTTTTTTTGTTGTGTTCTTTTTTTTTTTATTTTATTTATGTATTTATTTACTGATTTCAGCAATAATAGGATGGCATCTGGAGCCTTATATACACTTGCAGTATACTGAACTTCTGCTCCGAACTCAGTGTAAGTGCTAGCCAGACAATCAGGTGATTCTTGGAGGGTGTAAATTTTAGACTCTAATAATAACGTTACTTTAGACAGCGCTAAGTTAGTTTATTTGTTTTTACATCTTTGCTGTAGTTGGTTTCTTATTCACAAGCTTCTTATCTGAATTATCCTTTCCACCTTACATGGTGCACCGATTACTTCTGACTGCCAGTACATGGTGCACCATTTAAGGTGGAAAGGAAAATTCAAAGCTCCAACTTTATTTTTCACAACTGACATGGTGGATTCAGCAAGCTAACCACCCCAAAACAGCTAATAAAATGAAGTGAATTAGCAAGAACACTAAAATTTAAAAAGATATACTTTCTCTCCTTGATTGTGAACACACTGTTACATAGTTTGAAAATTGAATCTTTTTTTGCTGTTCTCTCTATATATACATAAGTTATTTTATTAACAACTAACTCTTAAGTTATCTGTCTGTAATTTCAGTCCCAAAATTATAGAGCAGTGATATGAGCTTGTATGGTACAGCATAATTTAATTTAATGTTTCTTTTTTTGGTGTTTTTGGGCTTTTGTTTTTCTGTGGTAGGTTGAATGACCCCCCTTGGCCACGTCCCCGCTAATATGTATGCAGACTTCAGTACCTGTCTACTGTAGTCTGAACCTCCAGTCTTTCCACTTAGTCTGTCTTTGACTAGAGAACGCAGAGCACTCAGAGCTGCATCTACGATAGCCTGACTGCTGCGTCCACCTGTAGGCAAGAAAATGAAGCAAGTCACAACTCTGAATCACCAGGGAATCAGAAGCACAAGTGAATGCCAGAGGAGTGGTCAGTTACAGACATAAACTTTTCTCTTGTGTGTGTGTGTGTTTTTTTTTGGCTTATCCACATGTAAAGAGATATTTGTACCTTGGTATTCCTCAGGCTTATGTTTGTTGGCCCCAAAGATCTTGATGGTTGGGAATCCACGAACCCCATACTGGCCTCCCAGTGACTTGTGCTGATCTGCATCAACAGCACCAACTTTAACAATTCCCTGTGTTACAGCAAAGAGTTCAGACAATTATTATTTCAGCATCATAAAACGTATAGCAAACGAGAACAATTACATCCGGCTTTCCAGAATAGACCCCAATGCACATCAACCAACCTGACTCTCCTGGCTAACGGTTTCAGTTTAGTTCTTTAGTTTTTGGCTAGATTCTAGTGCACATGCATAAGATTTCTCTAGGTTACAGTACACATATATAGCATTTCTAAAATAATCCAGGCAAGTCAAGTAAGAATCATATAAACATTCAAATTTCACCTTCAATGCTGTGGCTGCTTTCTTCCAATCTGGGGCCAAGTTCTGGCAGTGTCCACACCTGTTGAAATAAGCCATAAGATGTAATGGAACACATAAAGCAGGCGTTCAGCATCTTTAAATGGGTGATTTGCATGTTAAAGGTATTATGCAAATACATATCAGCATTACATTTATTCTAATCAGCTACTAGCATTTAAATAAAACAAGTGTTGTCTTTTTAACTCACCAGGGGGCGTAAAACTCCACCAGCCACAGACTGTCACTCTGCAGGACCTCCCTGTTGAAGTTCGAAGGATTGAGCTCAATCACATCATCACTGGCAGAGTACATCCCATGGACAGAGAGGACAGTCAAAGAACACACCAACACACCTGAAACAGGTAGTCAGTGAGTTAGTGTCAGCCCAGAGAAATTAACCATGAAAACAGGAGTTACAGGTTTAATTCTACATAATAAAATACTCATATCAAGTACTACTTGAGCACGTCATATTATTGTTTGCATTAAACACAATAACTCCAGATACGAGCATCTACTAAATGAAGTAAAGTAAATATGAGGTCAAGAAAGGAAAGCCTTAGAGACACGGTTCATTTTCCAAAAGTACTGAAATTACAGCAGAGAAATCAGGCCTGGGTTTCCCCAAGCAGCATCTTAGCCCAAGTGAACATTCGCTCTACCAGTTAAGGCTGTCTTGACATGAAGATGCTTTTGGGAAACTGGGCCCAACGTGAAAAAGAGAAAATAGACAGAAAACTCAACAGCCGGTTGACGGAGTACATAAACGTATCCATATTTGCATAAACGGCTTAACAGATCTCTAGCCAGTCCATCATTAGTAAACAACGCACCTCACTCAGTGCAAAGGTACAGTGACACATGTTTACAAAAAAACGACATCAGATTTTAAAGCATTTACTACGAGAGTAAGGCTTGATCTTGATTAAGTTGTAACGGTTGATGTGAATATAATCAACTTTAGTATTAAAAAAAAACTTCAAATAAAGCCTTTAAGCAAATCTAAACTGAACAGAGTCCAGCTGCTCCAGTGGTGAGTTACTGCAATCTGTCTTTTGTATTTCGTCCCGTTCATTGTAGCTGTGCCTACACTTCAGTAAGAACGGCTGGTAAGCTAGCTAGTGTGAGAAAAATGCAAAATTAGCTAGCTACTTTTATCTTAATCCTTTCTCTGATTTTCAGTCGACGAAATTAAGATAGTCAGAATAAGCATATGCTTTCAGAATGTCCAGAATACAGTCATGTTGTACATCTGAAGCAATGTTCCTACTAGGAATTAGCCACCGGCTAACTAGCCATCTATAACTCTCCTATTTCTGCATATCAACGTTTCCAACGACACAGAGAAGTTGTTAGCAAATTAGCATTAGCATTAAACAATAAAAGGCATTGTAATAGGTCAGCTAGGTCTTTACTTACCCAGCAGAGCTCGCATGGTTCTTTTCAGGTATCACCGGCAAACTGAAGTCTGCGCTGCACTAAGTTAAGTTGATTATAGCGCTCCGCTCCTGCAGCGACGCTCCACTGAGCTGCTCCGCTCCGGCCTGTCCTCGCTCTCTCACCGTGGCCCGCGCTGATTGGCGCTTCACCTTCCACAGCCAATCACATCCCGACGTGTAGGTTTGAGAGTCGGTGAAGTACGGTGGCGAAGAGAGGACAAACACCACGAGCACGTTTACATTACAAAATAACCTGAAAACTGCGAAGAAATCTGATTTTTAAGGGGTGAGAAGTAAACAAGGTTATTCAGGTTGGTTCAGTGCGAAATGTACTGACTTAGTGAGTTCTTATGTGTAGTGATAATGGTGTTGCCAACTTTGAGAAATTGAAATAAGAAACTGGGGGGTAGGGGTGGGGGTGGTGGTGGTGGACTGAGGGGCTCCGACTACGCTTTAGTAGCAGACTTACTATATCTACAGATATAACCCGGAAATTCCCCGGTGGGGTGTGTGTGTGCGCGCGCGTGTGTGTTAACCAATAACCAGACATGTATCTATAGGTCCATGTATTATGGCAAGAAAACACATTGAATTTGAGTTTTGCATTTTTGAGCATGTGTGATTATCATTAAATAATTTTATTTGGGCTGTGCAAAACAGCAATTTAACACACATTATTTATAGAATGTATATATGTATGTAATTATTATTATTATTATTATCATTATTATTATTATTATTATTATTATCATTATTATTATTAGTAGTAGTAATAATAATAATAATATAATAAAAATATGGTTAATATTATTTGCTACTCAGCTGTTACTGTTTACATTATATAATATGATGCACTTTAACTTTTATAGTAAAAATAATCACAGTGTATCCATTAGTGTTGAGGAGTAGTGAACTACATCTAATTAAACTTGAACTACATTTTGAACTACATTTTGCAGTAGCTTGCTGGTGGTTTAACTACATTCATTTTTGCATAGTGATTCAAGTAGTAAAATTATTATTTTTTTCCTTTTTTTTGTGCAGTTATCCACTGAATCTACAAACAATTGTGGGCCATAAAAAGCTGATATTCCTTGTGTTTTCCTATGAATAGTGGGGCATTCTGGTGTACAACTTGTGATCAAGTGGGCACTTCTTGCAAGAAACTGAATTGTGTGGCATTTTTTGCTGGCATGTGACAAAGCATTGCCTTTGTGTAACATTTTTTTTTCTAAAATCTGTTAATGTTCATCTTCTTCTTTTCTTACGTGTATCTCTTATTTATTATTATATGCTATATTGAGATTATCACTAAGGTGGCTAGATAGTGATGAAATAAAAACCAACGAAAGTTTTTTGTCTTAAATGTGACACAGTCCTGACAGTCAGTATGCTACAAACGATGCTAACGTTAGCTGAGTAACTTAAATTAACATCCTGTCAACTCACCACCCACCAGCTCTGAAATCTCCCCATCCTGAATAATTAGCTTTTATACCTTGGTTCTCTGCAGTTCTTGCCGCTACTGTCCATCTTCACATAATAAGAGATAAAGCAGCACAAATATAATGTATTGAGCCCAAAAGTAATAGTTGTTACTGAAAATTTTAAAAAGTGGACTTTTATGACTAAAATATGAAAATATAAGAAGATTTTGTCGCTGTTCAATGCAGCACCTTTTCCATCCCTGTTTTTTTCAATAGATCAGCTTTTATCCAATCGCACGACAGTTACTGCCCTCTTTTGGAGGATCTGTGAAATCTGCAGTAAATAATGATGGACAGGAAACTCCAGTTGGTCATTGGTGTAAGGAAAAGTGATTCACAACAGAAGTGCTGTATTTGATTATTTGAAGTCGAAAATGATTGACAGGTACCCCTTCCCACTTGTGCTCCCTTCTGCGGAAACCACTATGACGTGCGCCCTCTCCTGGCTGATTGTCTTATTTGCTCATGCAGTATGTTCAAATATGGACATGCTGGTGACGTCATAATGAGAAAGGGGTTATAAATGTTGAACCTGCACAGAAGACGGCATTATGTGTTTGACTCCTCGTCACAGTAGACCGTATTCGCTGTTTTAAAGCACGTGCTTTCAAATGCATCTTTTTCACCACCGATTTTCCTTTTTTAGAAAAAGAATCCAACAGATGTAGAACTTGCACATCGGAGTGAAGTTTCTTTTTCTGCATTCTCCTGAGAAAAAAATAATATTTTCATTCCTTCTGTGACATCTATTCTCATCATTACTGAGGTGCAGATATGGGGAAGGAGAGCTACCAGAAGAGGTACGATGGAGAAGTATCTTTTGGGCCACTGATGGTGTGTGGACCTGGTTATAGAAAGGACAGTGGTTCTTTTTTCCCTGACATTTGGGTGAAAGATCACAAAACTGTGAAGAACCCTCCAAAGAAGCCAGGGCCCACCAAGTTTCTACCACTGCCTGTGAGGAGTGAAGCTGGAAACATGCTTGTCTGTCGAGGCATCACCATCAGTACTGGTCCTCCTGTAGAATGCTCCATGTTGCAAATGGCAGAGGCTGTTTTAAGGAAACAGCCAAGCCCTCCTCCTCAGCCATGTCCCCACCACGCCAGGAAGCGAGCTGCACCAGTCAGCAGATCGAGAGTGCAGATCGGTCGTCTGCAGACCATCAGACTGATGCCATACAACTGGTCCAGGTGGTGCAGCTAAGCTCCTCCACTGTCCAGCAGAGTGACGAGAGAAGTTCTCAGGGGACAGAGTGAACTTCGAAAAGAGGTACAGAATGAAGGAAGGCCAACAGCAGGAAGAGATGCAGCTCCTTCACTGAGGATGATGATAGTTCTCAAGGGCCTGATGTTGCCCTCAGTGAATGAGCAGGAAATTATTTGCTTCCTGTGTGTGTCCATCTCCCTGAGCCTGTCTGAGGAAGAGGAGGAGGATGAATAAGAGTGAGAGCTGAAGCTGCAGAATTGAGACTCTGAGGATGGAGATCATCTTCTAGAATGGAGTTCAAGACAACAAGCACCAAAGTACAGGACGCCACATTTCACCCTGAAGCCTAAGACAGACGCTTTCCATTACAGAAGCACCAAATAAATAAATAAATAATATTCTGGGGCCTTTTTTCCGCAAAGGCGTCAAGGATTATTAGTATGTTCACTTTTATTATGGTTTAGTTTTCTCTTAAGCAGGACAGTTTGTCTGAATATCATGATGTGCTCTTAAGTAGCTTCTCACAAAATTTGTAGGTTCTTTAAAAAGTACTAGATTTAAAATGTAGTAAATTCCATTAGTATTGTTCTCTACACAAAATGTTTGATATAACAGACTCAGTAAGTGTAAACAGTGTTTCTGTAGAACATACCATTATACTGTTTCACATAAAATTTTAATAAATAATCAAACATCAACCACAGAGCAGGGAACAAATATCTAGTTCTAGCTTCAAAATCATCTTGAGCCATTAGAAAATATCATTTACCTCTTCAGACGCATGTTCCAGGGAGACAGGAATATGATAACGCTCTGTCCTTTTCTAAGTGTAACTAAATGTAGCATAAATTAATTTAAAATAGCATCTGTATAACATTTTTAGAATCCCTGCTAGAAAAAAACAGCCAAAACCAGCATATGGCGAAAACCCAACCATGCTGGGTGACCAGTTAAACCAGCTTAGACAAATTTAGACCAGTTTTTGTTTTGTTTTGTTTTGTTTTTTTTTCAGCAGGGAGAGCTGTTTAATAGATAACAGATAACAGACTCATATGATTCTTATTTGTCCCTGCAGATCTTCAAGTTGTTGCTCAGGGAAGTGGCAAAGTGAGGATCCAGAACATGGAAAGTGATCTCTATCAGGTTCAGTCTGTAAAGGTAATGCGATATTGCATTAGTCCTTTATAAAGAAATGGACAATAAATTATCAGGGGTGTGATGCCTTGACAAATATTTACGTGTGTCCAGTGTCTTTTAAGTGTCTCTTTTTCTACAAAAGACAGTGCTGCAAAATCTACATCACTGCTACACCTCTAGAAGGAGAGAAAAAAAGAGAAAAGAAATAAACAATCATTTGTATTCAGGTGTGCAAACAAGCAATCAAATCAGAAACACAGGGTGGAAAAGACCTACATGGTACACTCTTAGCAGAAAGGGTTCTTTGGCTTGTAACAACAGTGGAATTCTTGTAAAAATGTAAATTTTATTGCATAGACTACTTCATAATCATATTATGACCATATTATACTTGCATATAATTGTATTTATTGAGTTAATTCATATAAACAATTCAACTTCAGCCAATTCGAAATGGCATTTGTCCCTATGATGGTGGTCGCTGCTCCCTTTTTAAATTCAAACGCTTATATGTATGACCTAAATGAAAAATAAAAAAATAAAAAAACACCAAAAGTTACAGAGCATTGAACTTTGGCATTTGCCCACACAGTGCTGATGGTATCTGTGGAAATACTGCAGGATTTATAGTACTGAGTTAAACATATGACACAAAAATACAGGAAAAAAACTGAACTACACTGGATGTTACAGTAAAAGTTACAAAATGTTGAACCTTCCTATCACATACATAAATTAAACAGCGTGTTTAACTGTGAGCACTCCTTCATCCTTAACAGCACCACAAGTAAATATCAGCTGATAAAACATTAAAGTCTACTCACACAGAGAGAACTGAATACTCATTTCAGTGTAACTGGAAGGAATCTTTCCTCCTTTATTTTAAAAACAAATGCTTCAAGGAACAGAAGGTCCCTTAGGGTGCTCAACCCCAAAGACAAAGTAGGTGCTGAACAGTACGCAGAGGGCAACGGAGATTTCTGTGCAGTCTTCCACTATGATCTCCTTGTCCAGGGTGACTGTACTGCAAGGGCAGTCCCTCCTTACAACCACTTAAAATGATCTGTGGTGTGACCATCTCCAGTGTGCTGGACTCTCCAGTTGCATACTGCTTTGAAATGTAATGAAGGCACGACTGCATTGCTTCCACTATGGATAGTTCTGTTTTTCATTTTGGCACAAATTCCTCTCCATAAACATACTGACACAGCAATCACAGCTGATGCACACAGAGCAGTCTGCTATTGTTATGTTAATGAGCTGAGCGTCCACCAATCAGATTGTTGATACGAGGCGGGAAACTCTTTGTGTCTTGTCTATAGTCTAGCTACATGCGCACATTTAAGATGGACGGGAGAGGAAAATGATTATGTTGTTTAAAAGTTTAATGTTTAAAAACAATATTAGGCTGTTTCAGGGTACAGGACTGATCTGTTAACTCCTGCTTGTGTTTTAGCATCACACCCACAAAGCCACCGACAGTTGGCGAGGGAAGTGATTCAGTTCACTCTAAAAAGCAGTGTCTTGTTACTCTACATATTTGCTGGTAGCTAACATTAGCTATAAAAACACAGCCCAGCCCACCCAGTTTCTCTTCCAGCCCCACCTCCAAACCCATACATCACTGCAGTGACCTGCCTAGCGTGCCCCTCTCATTTTTGAGCACCCCCAGCACCCCTACTTTCATTACAGATTCCCATAAAACAAAACAAAAACAAATCAGTAATTAATGCAACTGTGCAAAATTTCGAGGGAGGTTGTGCTTCAATTAGTTTCAATAAAGTCACCTCTTCTCTTGTAGGCATTTGTTAGCAAGAAACAAGTTACCCTTTTACAAAAGAATTGATAAAGCAGCAAAATGAGGTGTTCATAGTTCTTGCTAAATTCAAGCAGACCTTGCCACCAAAGGGCTCCACCCAGTGCATATTTGCTTACTTTGTATATTTTTTTTTCCATATTTTAGTAATGCTACATTAACACCTGAAAACTTGGAATACAGTAAAAAATGTGTAACAGTCATGTGCAAAAGTTTGAGTGCCCATGGTCAAATTACGTTTTGTTGATTTTCTTAGTAAAAATAAGTTAACACATCCTCTACAGGAAACATACTTCTGCACACTTTAATGCATTATTACTGTTTATTTGCTGAATTTAACATAAGGGGCAAGGGGGGGCATAAAGTGTGGCCTGTGTACAAGTTATGATACTTATATCCTTTTCTTATTTTTTCTAACTCAGCACATAAATAGAAATTGTGCACTTAATAGTGCACTGTTTGCTAAATTCAGCCCAGATCTAAAAGCCTAGATTTAAATTAGACTACATTGGTGGCTACAGCTAGAACAGTGCATTTTGACCCTAAACCACTTTAACAGCTTTAATAAACTTGCGTTTGACAAAGCCAGGAAAGGAGGGCAAATCTTACACACCAACACAACAGTTAACCAATAAAGTTTACGATCTTCTGACTGAGTGCAGAGGGAATGGAGAAGATGAGCAGACCCAGGAATATCAGCCCTGCGACAGTCAGAAGCAACACCACACACGCCAGCTTATACTGCCTCCACGCCATGATACACGCCGCTCGCGTTGGACTCAACAACCACGACAAGCTGGTGGTGGGACGGCTGTGGGGCGAAAGAGGACAGGGGGATTATGCACGCACCAATAGGCATCCACACAAAACAGCAGAAACACAAAAACAGCACTCAGGCAACTTTATTTCAACAAGATCATTTTATTCAATCTTCATACAGACAAAAATAAATTAATAAATACCTAAATGCTTCACACTGGTAAACAGCAATTATAAATACACCCTATATGATATAAATAAGTTAGATTTAGTGCAATCAGGTCAGTTATCAAATTTGATCAGTAAACACAATCACATGAAACACAAAGTTGTCCTGGCGAAAGAGCAAGCAGGTACAAAACTATGGTGCTATGCACAGCAAACAATGTAAACCAACAGCAAGGAGAAGAGGGAATAATATACAGCTGTGCTGGACTAAGACGATCATGCTGAAAAAAAGAAACCTTTCTCCTTCTGTCTCTGTCTCTCTCTGTCTCTCAACATTCATGATGAAATGTCATGGATTCAAAGTGCAATCGTCAAGGCAAACGCAACATCAAATTCTCATGTACATGAAAAGCTTGTTTTCAGCATTAGTTAATGATAGACAATTCGGTTTTAAGACATCGTTGCATGCTTACTGTTGTGCTATCAGCTGCATTCAAGTTTGTACATTTACAATAAAGACAGAATCTTAAGCAAGCCATACATATCCTTAAAGTGTGAATGATCTGTTTTGGACGCAGCCCTGAAGTTCAGCATATTTACTTCTAAAATGCTCCTGATTCGACTCATTGGTTAATTATTTAAGCAGGGGAATCACCACATCACCGCCCTTCAGAACTGGAACAGATTACCTCTGACTGGGCAATATAAACAGAGATGAAGGATTCAGGAATGTACGCTCTTAAAAATAAAGGTTCTCAAAAGCGTTAATAGGAGCCATGCTATAGATGAACAACCTTTGGTTTCTTAAGGAATGTTTCAATGTATTGTTCTTTAAAGAACCCATTTTTTGTACATGAGATATGAGTGAAGAACCAATTGGAAGTATGACCACCCTTCATTTATTCAACATCTTGTCAAAATGGCCATTAAGTGTACTTACTACCATTAAGTTGTTCATTTTTCAGCATTAAGAAAAGACTAAACTACAAAGATCCATCCTTAGAATGTGGAAAACATGTTTAACAGAAAATGGCATTCTTTTCAGGATACTTGCTTATAGAAATCTGCAGGGATATTTTTCTACCCCTCTAAAGTTTAGTCTTAGAGGTCGGTTGCATTTTCTGCCTAACGATCCAAGCAATCCCAAACACATGGAGTGATGTTTAGATATGAACTCTGTTATCTCTCTCTATTATTCTGAGAACACCAGCAGCTTCTTTATTGATTTCCTTTTTTTTTATTATTTTCTATTTTCTTTTCTCAGTTACAACTTCTTGACAGCTATACATCCTTTCAGACCCATAGTGCTGAGTTGTCTTCTCACAGTGGAAGGGTGGACAGAAACAGCTATGTTTTTTATATCTGAAGTAAGACTGGAGCTTGATTTTCTCCTCTCTCTCAAAGATGAAAGCTTTAAGTCTACCAGGTCTTGCATGGTTGTTAGGAGTCCCACTTTCTTTAAACTCCTTAATAATTTTTGAACTCCAGTTTTGGGAGTGCCTGTTTTTCATTTATTTCCCTTTGACTGTCCCCTTCTCATGCAAGTGGACCATCTTATATCTAACCTTTTCAGAAATATCTCCTGAAAATAAGTGTAGTTATTGGATGGAAGTTAATTGACTGAAAATTAAGTAAATGAAAGGTGGTCTGAGACCTTTGTACAGTATTGCACATCCAAGCTAAGAACCTTTATTTTTAAGAGTTTAAGATTTCGAAAAAAGCTTGGTGTGCAACAGTGCGAGTTAGTAGATCTTCTAAAAGGAGAATTCACAAAAGGCATCGAGCAGCATCAATGTGGAACAGTGAAGGAGAAGCTTTGTAGATGGACCACTCTGAGGTGGAGGGGGTGAATAAACGGCTCTTTTTCTTTCCAGTTCAATGCTGGCCTTCTCAGGCTCCCAGCAGCTTCTTGACCAGGTAGCCAGGCATGCTGTAGAGGAAGAGGCCCACCATGACCAGCAGCAGCAGGGCCAGGACAATCTTGATAATAAGCCATTTGTAGCGGTTGCACACCAGGTAGCGGATGGCCTTCAGGGGGCTCAGGAACCAGAGGAAGGTGGTGTCGGGTCGGCTGTGAGTAGGGATGGTGGAGTGAGGTGATGAGGTTACAGTGAGGGAGGTGATTAGGAAAGACGAAGAAGGGTGATGGGTAGCGGGGAAGGGAAGAGAGGAGAAGTAAAGCAAGTATTAGTATCATTAATAAAAAGCGGGATCATTCTAATTTCTTATTATAGTCTACTCTGCCAATTAGCCACACAGTAAGGATGTGTACAGATGGTGATGCTATCCCCTAACACATCTTCTGACATATTCTGGAGGAATACTCTGTTGTTTTTCAAGCTAATGTCAATTCGTTACATCTGTAGCATGTGGTCAGTTACCATGGGCAACTCTATTGATGTGTCTCCCTGTACAGAAATCCAACTCAAAACACATTTAAGTGCTGATTCACACTTAAGTGCTAATTCATTAAGATGCTGAATTATGGATTTTCTCTTATTTTTAATGTACAGGGAAGTTATTGTCGGTGGTAAATGAACATACATGCATAAAACTGAAATTAATAAATTGCTGGAGTATTATTTACCTAGGATGTAACACCAAAAAAGTAAAAAAAGATAAAACAAAAAACTAAAAGTGACAGTGAAAAATGCACATTTACACTTGTGGCTTTATACTTATACATATGAACAAAAAGTATTATTCATAAGCACGTAAAGTTCTCTTCCACTTTTCACCTGGTGTGATTATAAAATGCAACAAGTAGCAACCATCACAAAGGTGAAATATCTTCATAAAGTTCTCAGGGACAACGTTATCAAACAATACTCAAATGGAAAAATGCTGCAGAGCCCTAGCTAAGACCTAAAGCATCCCTGTCAGTACAACTGACAACTTTTCCACATTTGTAAGTGGAAAGTTTATGGAACCCACAACTAATCGTCCCTGGACAGCTGTGCCACGCAAGGTTTCAAAATGTGCTATCAGACTAATGATAAGAAAGATTAGAGGGAAGCCAGTAGCTGCAGGACAACTTGAAAGCAGCAGGAGCAACAGCTGTCACACAAACAATAATAAAAAATGAGATATGTGTCTAAAATTTGCCCACAACCATTTAGACCAGTGTTCACCAACTCTGGTCCTGGAAATCCACCTTCCTGCAAAGTCTAGTCCCAACCACAACCTGCCAAACCTGTTCTAGCTAAACAACCTCTTCCTAAGTCCCTGATTGGCTGGAGCAGATGCAATAGTGTTAAATAAAGGGCGTGGCAGCTTATTAGAAACAGGTTGGAACTAGACTCTGCAGGAAAGCAAATCAGACCTCTTTTGGAACAATGTATTCTAGTCAGATGAAAAAAAAATTGGAGCTTTTTAGCAATAAACAGTGCAGTATGAAGGTGGGAGCATCATGATATGGTGCTTCTTCTCTGCACACAGTTCTGAGGCATTACACATCATTAAAAGAGAACATGAATAGAGCCATGTACATATTAGAAGAGAACTTAAAGGGGAACCACCGATTTTGCAAAATTACTTAATCATTCAATGGTTTAGATGTAAACAAAATAATTTAGAGTAGTTTGGTGTGAAATACACCTTTCTAGAGAAATTTACCAAAATTGTTCACCACTGTAGTACTAGGAACAAGACGTCCTTATGTCTACACTACACATATCACTATTTTATGTGGAAGTGACTAGTGAACTTACACGTGTGTTCTAAGTTTTTACAAGTCACGCTGTTAATGGTACAATAGTGCTAAATTTGAAAAAATATGTTTTCTGTGGGTACTATTTTTCTTTACAACGCCCTGTATGTACCTCTCTGCCCTGCACACGCTTTGTGTTGTAGGCGGCACTGCGTCGCACAGTCAGCAAAACTCAGAGCTTATGTGAGCAACATTATTCCTCAGAGGGGCTGCGATAGATCACAGTTGCACTTTGCTGGATTATTGTTCAGATTGGTGGTGAACTGCTGTACCAAGATGCAAAAACAAATGGAGAAAAAAAAACTGTACAGTGCGTTTTTTCAGTTGCCATTACAAGTACCAGAAATCTTGAAGTTGTGGCTAATTGTTTTGAAGCTACACACAAAGAGTCAAACAACTCTAAGCTGCTGCTAGCATTAGCTGTGCTGAACGGCTGTAGCAACAGGCTAGTAACAACAAAAGTGTGTTGGCCTGCGCGCATTGACCTCAGCTGAGAAAGCGATTTTAAGAGAAAACACAGAAGTAATCCTGGAGTAAAAGTTTATCTGAAAGATTTTGTTTACATCTAAACCATTCAATGATTAAGTAATTTTGCAAAATCAGTGGAGTTCCCCTTTAATCTCATGACTGAAGATAGATGTTTCAACAAGACAAGAACCCCAGACATAAAAATTGAAGGCAATTTGCCAAGAGGAAGGGGCAAAAATTGAACCATGATGCTGCAAAAAGTTAATGACTTCCTCCTTGTCGATGCCTCAAAACTGTAATTGCCAACAACAGCTTCACAACAAAGCATTGTTATTAATTTGTGGTGTCTGAATATTTTTCTCTGTCAGTTTTGTTTAATATATATACATTTGTTCTTATAATTACATACTTTTATGTTCATATTTATAAATACATAGTCAAGTGGGTATGATGTGGAATTACATAAAAAAACAAAAACAAAAGTGTCTAAAAACTTGCCTGGATATCCTACACAGTAAAATTTAATGAACTTAAAAATCATATAAATATCAGATAAATGTTAAGATGATATGCAGGTACACAGTGATAAAGAGGGTGACAAAGGATGCCCGAATGGTTCCAGGTAAGACTGAGATACTGAGATACTGAGATACTCAGAGCAACACTCAATGAACTGCACTCCCCATTTCCTACCATACGGCACCATTTAAACACAATGTAGTCTGATTTAAAGCAACACATAGGCAGTGGTTAAATGTTGCTCTGATTACAAAGAGTGAAAGAGTGAAAGAAAGAGTGATAGGAGACAGAGGGGGGAATGAGAGAGGGCTACCGGTGGTCTTCCCCTCTCTCCTTATGCCCCCAGCAGCTTCTTGACCAGGTATCCGGGGATGGAGTACAGAAAGAGACCAAGGAGCAGGAGGAGCAACAGCAGCGCCAGGGTCTTCAGGATCAGCCAGCGGTAGTTGTGCCAAATGAAGTATCGTATGGACTTCAGGGGGTTCAAGAACCACATGAGACTGGTGTCCGGACGACTTTATTTTGCAGAACGGGAATGTGTTTGGGAATGGAGGAGATGAGCAGGTAAAAGAAGGTGGAGGGAGGGTACAGGCACACAGAGGAAGGAAGGTAATGATGAAGGAGAATGGGAGTGTTAGAAAGAGGAAAAGTTAACAGGATACCAGGAGGGGCATCTATGCTCTATCATCATCTGATCTGTGCAGGTAACTTGAGAATAGTCGTTTAGGCAAAATTTATAATTTAGACAATTTTCCTCTTAGTTCAAGTGTAGTTGATCAGCCAAGACTTGATTAATGTCCAAGATCTGCTTCTTTAGTTTTGCACTGGAGCTACGAGGCTAATTACCAACAAGTAATAGAAGCTTATTAATTAAGTTCAGATTAAGTAACCCTTTTTAGTCCCACAATGGGGAAATTTCACCTCCGCAATCTAACCCATCTGCACAGTGAAACACCACATACACACTAGTGAAGACACACAGCCCTATCCGCAGAGCCCGGGGAGCAGTTGGGGGTTAGGTGCCTTACTCAAGGGCACCTCAGTCATGTACTCGAACCGGCAACCTTCCGGTCTCAAGGCTGGTTCCCTAACCCCCATTATGCTAATTATGTAAGCTAATTAGCAAGTGTATGATAACGTTTGCACAATGCTAACTGCCTTTCTTTACTTCTTAGCTACATTAGCCTTGTAGCTCATATGCAAAACTAAAACAGCAAAATGTAAGCATCAAAACACTGAACATGTCTGATCAATTACATTTGAGGTAAGAGGAAAGGGAAAACCTGAGTGAACTATTTCTTTAAATAAAGGTGAATTTTACAACACTTCTGCATAATTAAATGGTAAAAATGTAAAAGTCATTCAGGGGGGTTTGATGTGAAATGCTCTGTTCTAGAGAAACTGAGTCAGGATTGCTCACAGTGTTGGTGACAGAAACTTGACATCTGAAGAGTTTAATGCTATAAAATATTTAAAGTTAACACATCCTCTACAGAGAACAAACGTCTGCACATTTTAACACACAATTACTGTTTATTTGATGGATTTAACATATTGGACAAATAATAAAGCATACAATGTTAAATTTGTTTCTGTAAACAGTGTGCTTGTTTGTTGTTATTTTCACTTAGACATTCAACAAAAGATAATTTGGGGTGTCAAAACTTTTGCAAACCACTTTAGCTCATCTGAAGTTATTTATAAAGGACATTGTTTTACAGTAATTTTGAGATAAGGTTTTGACACATGCAGGCACTGTAAAAACCAGTATCCAAATAGTGTCCAAAGAAAGCTTTGTTTTTTTAATTTACTGCTAATTTACCATTATTAACATTACATATAAAACCTTTTGCATGTCATTTTGGATAGTAAATGAAATGGCTATATTGGCTATATTTGTGTTGTATACATCATGACTCCTGGTTCCTATCACCACCACTGTAAAGGATTAGAGTCAGTACACTGTTAGAAATAAAGGTTCTGTGCAGGTACATTTTTCATCCATCACGGTACAAACAATGTAAATGTTCCCTCAAAGGTACAACAGTGGTTTCATGGTCCAACTGTGTAACTTTTTCCCAGGTAAAAAGTATGTATTTATACCTTTCCATAACCTAATGTTTTAAAGCAGAACAATAAAATAAAAACCCTGGAGACGAGATGGGGTGTGTGGAGTCAATACAATTTAGAAAATATAATTTCAGTGGATTATGGTACATTTATGTTCCCTGACTAAAGGCACTGAGATGTACCCTTGAGGAAACCACCCCAGTGACAAGAGGGGTACTGCCCCAGTGACAGTTTAGTACCTTTTTTCTGAGAGTGTATGTTTTTATTTCACATCAAACCACTCTGAATGACTGCTTTCACAAATCTGTGGAAGTCCTCTTTATCTACACAAAACACTATAAAGTCTCAATCATATTAATGGAATTTTGTCATGATAAGAATGGGGAATGTGAGCACACATCTGCATGTTTGCTCATTAAATACTGTTTCTAAGATTTGTTCTAAGCGCGTTTAGGTGTGTATACAGTCATTTTCTTACTTTGGTTTCTCCAGTGGGTCTGGCTCCTTCCTTCCAAGGCCGACGGGATTTTTCTCTGCCTCCTCTGCTGTCAATAGATGGAGCTCTGCCTCCACTTTGCCCTGCGAGGACAATTATCACTAATGAAAGGAACAATCACTGGGGACGGTACTACATCATTGTACAAGCAGCCACTCCTGAAATGAAGGTTTCCAGAGCTTTCATATGCAAAGAAAGTATTTTTGAAAGCAATTTTTTTTACACAAGATGACAGGCAGTCATGTCTCACCGTAAGCTCTAGCTCATCATTCTCGTCTCGCGCTACAAAAGGCCACCAGCCCTTCACTCTTTTCTGTTTGAAGATTGAGATGGTCGGCAGTTCCTGCTCATTAAGCACCATGTCAATGGAGCACTGCTTCGCTGTTTTCGCTCCTCGAGGGAAACGGTTCAAATCCAGCTCAATTGCACCTGAGGGGAACCATTGATGCTTAAATGCTGGAAAAGGCTGACCTTTAGCACAGTTCTGTAGCTGGAAGCCGCACAAATCTAGAAGCAGCACCAAATCCTAACAGGACTTTCAAATTCCTACAATAACAACACATTTCAGACTACACAGTTCATCACAATGTTCTAAAACGACACTCACTGGGTGAACCACTATTACACTACCTATTTCCCCAGTTAAGTCTACATGTCTTTAGAACTTTAGGTCCTTCAATCAATGAATCATGAGAAAGCTCATAGGAACATACACAGAAAAAAAATGACTTTATTCAAATTTGTATAATCATTTCCATGTGATATCATGTGAATATATGATATTTGCTTGCTTTTGGCAATAAAAAGTATTGATGCGTTAACATATTTTACTCACATGGAAATGATTTTCAAATGTGAATTAACTTAATTCAGTGCAATATTTTTTTTTTCAGTGTATATTTTCATGAGCTTTCTCATGATTCATTCATTGAAGGACCTAAAGTTCTAAAGATATGTGGGCTTAACTGGGCAAATTGTTAGGGTAATAGTGGTGCACCCAGTGAGTGATGAACTGTGTAGTCTAAAATGTGTTGTAATTGTAGGAATTTAAAGTCCGGTTAGGATTTGGTGCCACTGCTAGATTTGTACACAGTGATGTACACATTTAAATGAAGGTCTCATCATACCCAAGAAGTCATCAGCAGAGAAGTGGTCAGCATCCCACACTTGCAAGGTGAGGCGGGCAGGGATCTTGTACTCAGTCTCATCCCAGGAGAACAAAGACTCTTTCTTGGAGATCACAATTTTCTCCTCCGCCATTAGATAGTCGAAGGGGAACACAAAGCGCCAGTTGAAGTTTCCTTCTCCGGTCAGAGAGTGGTAGTGCACGTCTGTGTCCTGCTTATCTTCCTGTTGTCCTTTCAGCCAGCTGGGCAGGGAGGCCATTGTCAGTAAACACCACCCATATTACTTTGAGACAGTTATGCTGGGATGATTCAAGTCAATTTACAAGCATGAAACACTTGTGAAACTCTTGCTCTTCCATCATTTGGATATTCAAGAACCAATTTAAGATCTTTTTGGGCCAACTCGAGCAGCAGGCCAGTTTACTTCTTTCAAATTATTCACTTTATTTACTTTCTGTTCAGCAACAAATTTAGTATTACATATTCAATATGGTCTTGTGCTTCATGCTTGCACATAATGTAAATAATGTAATTAAACACATGCTCATCCTCCAACAGGACTGGAAGTGAATATAGTGAATGAATAAAGAGAGCTGCTAAACGTGTTACTTATTAGAAAGGAACAAAATAGAAACATATTGTAAAATGTTAAAAAGATTAAAAAATCAATGTATCAGTTGTACAACTTTCAGCAGACACACTAAGAGTAAACCAACCGTATTTCTGTCCCAAAAAAGAAATCATAGTAAATCAATTCCTATGTTTTTAATATATGAAATGTACTCTGCCTATTATATTTAATATCAATGTAAAATGGGAGCTTTTTCTGGAAATAAAAACATATATTCACAAAAATATCAATATGTAGAAACCAGAATAATTGCTTACTTATTACAGTTATGGTAGTACAGTTATAAAACTGCTAGAGGTTACGATTGACCAAAGTGTCAATACAGTTATTAGCAATGCCTACATTGGAAAAAATGAACAGATATGACTAATCTAAGCAGTATCCTGTGGTCTTTCTTACTGGATGTCTCTAAAATCCCACCCTCAGCTATAGACGCTGCCAATTCAATGATCAACAAAGATCATGATTCACCATATTAGCATAGCACATTTAAATCACACGGTAATTTAATCATTCTTTCATGACTTGGATGAGTAATGTACTTGACAGTCTTTCATGGTAGCCACTGAGCATCTGTTCCTTGAGAGATGCAATAACCTCAAAGAAAACATCTTACGGAACACCTGAAAACACTTAAACTGGCATCTAATCCATTATACTGGATTCTCTTAAATCGAGAAGTGTAGGGCTAAGTTGTGCATCTGAAGATCTGATTAGCTAGCGCTAGCCATACAGCGGTCACTTTATTAGAAACACCTACTTGGTTGCCTCACCTTGATAGTGTACAGTTAGATACTGTAGCCCATCTGTTAATGCGCAGTTTGCGTTAATCTTCCTCCGTGGTCAGTTTCTGACCACAGAACCACTCTCAGCTTGACAGTTTTGGGTGATGGCCAAAACGCCAGCAATGATGCATCAAACGATCTACCGACCACAGAGTACGATCTAGAGCAGGGCTGCTCAATTCTGGTCCTGGAGATCTAATACTCTGGAGAGTTAAGATCCAACACACCTGGCTCTAATATTCAGTTGCTCCTGAGAGTCTGTCACCTGGATCAGGTGTGTTAGATCAGGGGTGGAGCTATACTCTGCAGGGTGGTAGATCTCCAAGACCAGGGTTGGGCACCCTTGATCTACAGAAACCACAGAGGACCACAGAGGAGGACTGCATGTTGAGAATGGTCCACCGCCCATACAATGTTTGGCATGTTAAAATAAAAGGTAGGCATTTCTAACAAAGTAGATGGAGTATTAGCGCCTTTCAGGGCAGAGGAAAGTCGAGTAGATCCATGTACTTGACAAAGGCATGATGAACTAGCCAATAAAAATACTACGAGCATCAACTTAGCTCCACAGAAATCCTGACACTGATAAGCAAGCAGCAGTGCATCAAACAGAGAAGCAGGCCGAACACTACCTGTCAAAAGTTTGAGAACACCTAGCTTTTCAAAACGTTTTTAATACATGAGATTTTTTTTTGTCAGGTTGCAATAACTTTACATATGAGATGTAATAAGATAAATATTAGTAATCAGATTTATTTACAAGAAAATGAATATTGGGACAATAACTAAAAAATATCAAATTTAATTATATCTGTATCAAAAAGGCTCCCATAGCAGCTACATCTGCTCCATACAATTAAAGAGGAACTCCATTGTTTTAAAGCAAAACAAAGTCATTCAGAGTGGTCTGAGTGGCTTCATAGTAGTGGTGACACTACTCAGATGTCAAAGTATTTAACCCCTTAAATGGCCAGGGCCCACCAGCAGGCCCAAAGTTTTAGTATACACTTCTATAACCTAAGAATAGCTTAGCCAGTTTGCATTAAAGTCCCTGAAGTTACTGAAATATAAGACTTAGTATGTAATAATTGTGAATGTGATTTTAAGGGGTTAATGCACCTAAAAGCACCCCACAGAAAGGTAATACACTGTTTTATGAATGTTTTATGAAAAAACCAAAAATATTTTCATGGCACAGAGATACATGCAGAGCATTGTGAGGCAAAATTGTTCTTAAATAAAACAGGCTTTTAAAAAAAGAAAATGTATCACTTTTTCCATTATAATCATAACCTATAAAACACACCTGTGGTTTTGCTGGTTGTTTTAGATAGTAAATAAAATGTCTATATTTGTGTTGTAGACATGGTGACCACTGGTTCCTATCACCTCCACTATACAGAAATCAGAGTCAGTAAGTTTCTCTACTATGAACCACTTCAAAACACTTTGTATGACTTACATCTCAATTTAATAATGCGGGATTCAGTAGAGTTTCCCTCTAGCTTCATTTGAACACTCTCCAATACTTGGAAAACATGGAGTGTTTGCATGAAGCAAGTGTGTGTAGCAGTTACAGCTCCTTTACTTTTTTTAGTTACTGTCACAAATAATTACACGTGATGTCATTTTGCTTAAAGCAATCTTGGTTAGTCTTTCATATGCTACATTACTGCAAACTGATTTTTTTTTACTTTTTTTGTTTTTTGAAAACATACATGCAGGTCTCTCTAAACCTTTGAGGGTGAAGTTTATGGGAGGGCCTTATATGAGTGCGCTAATGCGGTAACTGCACTGCAGACAATGTCAGGTTCGTAGAAAATTGTGCAGTTTACTATTTGGTGGAGCATATTAAAAATGTTTACAGACTTGCTAGGAATGAATGCAGCTTATGCAGTTGTTGCCATGCAATCATGTTTTATGCTGTCATGCACTATTAGAGGAATATCCCCCAAATCTCAAAGCATCCTGAGTAGTGCTTGAGAGTTTTAATGAGATACCAAGACCATATCATTTAATCAAATATCCTAAGGGTAGAATTAATATGCAATTGTCTACTACTTAATCAGTCGAAGCCTTAGACTTTAATATTTACTATTCATTATTCCTTCATTATTAAACAGAATGTTTTAGAAGCTGTTTAAATGCTATGGTCCTGGAAGGCTGAGGTATTTAATTTGCAGTGACTGGAAGAGGGTGCGGGTGGGGGGTGTCTGGAATAAATTCCGTGCTTTTTTAGTGTGGCCTAGAGGTGGAAGGTGGGCAGAAGAGTCGAGCCATGCGATGGAATCGTCTTTACCCCCTGACATAGATGTCAGACATCTTCTCTCCTGTCATGAAAGCATCGTCTTCTAGAACTACGTCATCAGTGTTCCAAATAATAACACGAAGCTCAAAGCTAGACAGCACAGCAATAACGCAGGGGTGGGGGGACAGACAACATAAAAAAAACAAGACCAAACAAAACATACAGACAAAAGAAAAAACAACAGGAAAGGAAACAAACAAAACAAAAATAAATGATTAACAAGACCAACCACACGTCTGTCACACACCTGCCCATACCTACCCCCTGACAAAAATGTCACTGGATTTTTCCCCTGTGAAGTAATCATCGTCTTCCAGAATTACCTCGTCAGTATTCCATATAATCACCCTGAGCTCATATCTGGTGAGGTGGTGGAGGGAAGGGGAAGAAGGGGGGAACATGTGGTCATCTCATGAGCCTCTCTGACTAAACTATAACAGTTTTAAACAAAGTGATGCATTAGAACGAGAGAAAGAGAGAGAGAGAGTGAGAGTGTGAGAGATAGAGAGAGAGAGAGAGGGAGAGAGAGAGCTCGTGAAAAAGAATAAGAGATGAGTATTTCTGGAGTCCTCTTGGGAGAAACATATCAGAAAAAATATCTAAATATTTAACACTGAAACAACCCTACGACAGATGCAAAATAGTGCTATATAAATAATGGACGACTTCTTAAAGTGATGGTTCAGTATTTTGACAGAAGTACACTGCAAAAGGTTGCTACAACTGTTTTAGCCGTGCAACATACATTAGTCCAATTTTATAGATTACAGTATGTCATACATGCCTGAAACCATATAAACAAATCTAAAACTAAGACCTAACTAGGAGTGTGACAATTTAGGCATGTGGTTTTCAGGAGGCAAAGTGCTGTGGGATATGCTACATTAGCCTCGTAGCTCCAGTGCAAAAAGTATAGAGGCAAACATCAGACTCTAAATAAGTCTTGGCTGATCAACTACATTTGGTGTAGGGCTAAAATGGTTTTAATTTGATTTTTCACTGAACTATCGCTTTAAGGGGTGAATTAGTAATTCATAGTGTGACCCCTATATTATTGTAAGACATCAGGGACTCCAGTTGTGTGAACAGGGTAACACGCACTTCTTTGGTTTGCGTGGGGATATGTCTATGGCAGGTCCTGGTGCAGGTCCATCCATCGGGAACATGTCCACCCACATCTCAATTCGACCCTGTAAAGTTTGGACAGGCCAAAGTTGAACAGTATGGAATAATCATAGTCCAAAAAAACTTGTCTCCAAAATGGCAGCTTTACAGGAGAAGGCAAAAATGTTCTTAACTTTTAATGTTGGTTAATGTAAAGAGATTTTATTCCAAGTAATTTTGGAGCATTTCTATTGGTCGATTCATCATGAAATTTTCACAGTTTAAAGGGCAGTTGCTGTACTTAAATGATGTAGAAAAATAAAAATATTTTTTTTTTGCATGAACAAACAGTAGCACAATGATGATATAATAAATTTATAAATAATGAGAAACTTATACTGGCTTTAATTTGTGTGAGCGATCACACTTTATGGGGCGTTGGCAATGGCAATTTATAAACTTTCTGAAGTGCGCTTCTTTTCATTGTTGTTTATGGAGGAATGTGCAGGATGACTGGAAAGTACTCCTTTAACCTTTGTGTTTTTAAAAATGCTTACTTTTGTGCCGAGAACCCACACAAAAGTGCCATATCTCGTCCACAGCTGACCAATCAATAGAAAGGCCTTTATGATATTCAATTAAAGATGTATTTGTACAGTACTTTTTACAACAGCCGTTCAAATCTGGGTTCAAGCCCAAACAGACAGTGGCAAGGAAAAAGTCCCTAGCAGCAACAGGAAGAAACCCTGAGAGCAACCAAGACTTAAAGGCGGAAGCCATCCTTCTCTGGTCAACACCAGATCTCCGCTCTCCTCAACCCTCCCCCTCCCCCTCCACCCTCTTCTCTCACTCCTGAGGATTCTGTCACTTTCTTTGAGGAGAAGCTTGATAGAATCTGCCAGTCTTTTCCCTCTGATCCCACTCCTTCCACTAGACCTCCTCCTCTCGTTCTCAATCCCTTGATCTGTTTTTCTTCTCTTTCCACAGATGCTGTCCTTCAACTGATCAAATCCAGTAACCCAACCACCTGCCCACTGGATCCCATCCCATCTGTATTCTTCCAGTCAATCTCCAAGGACCTACTGCCCTTCATCACTTTTCTCATCAGGTGAAGTTCCATCAACTTTCAAAACTGCAAGAGTACTTCCCATCCCCAGGGAGCCCACGCTTGACAGCTCTGATGTTAACAACTACAGACCGGTATCACTCCTTTCCTTCCTTTCAAAAATTCTTGAACGTACAGTCTATAATCAACTGTCTCTCTTTCTCACATAGAACCAGCTCCAGGACCCCAACCAGTCTGGCTTCAAACCAGCACACTCAACAGAAACTGCTCTTATAGCAGTGACTGAGAAGCTCCAGTCAGCAAGATCAGCCAAACTGTCATCTGTCCTGATTCTTCTTGACCTCTCAGCAGCTTTTGACACGGTCAACCATACAATCCTTCTGGACGTCCTCACCAACCTCGGAATCACTGGCTATGCGTGGAAGTGGTTCAAGTCCTATCTGGAGGATCGCTCTTATCAGGTAACATGGAGAGGGTCCACATCCTCTCCATGCAGGCTCTCCACTGGTGTCCCACAAGGCTTGGTGCTGGGTCCTCTTCTCTTTTCTCTTTACACTAGCTCTTGGTGATGTAATATCATCTCATGGCTTCTCTTATCACTGTTATGCTGATGACACTCAACTAATGCTTTCTTTCTCACCCTCTGACACACAGGTTTCCAGTCGCATCTCAGCATGTTTGTCTGACATCTCTTCATGGATGGCAGCTCACCACCTGAAGCTCAATCCTAGCAAGACTGAGCTGCTATTCATTCCTGCAACTACAGGTCCTCAACATGAAGAAGAAGTCAAGAAGTCTTGGTGTGATTTTGGATGGCCAGTTATCGGTCTCGACTCACATCGTGAACCTAACTCGGTCATGCAGATTTCTCCTGTACAACATCCGGAGGATCCGACCCTTTCTCACTCGAGAGGCCACCCAGGTGCTGGTGCAGTCCTTTGTCATCTCAAGGCTTGACTACTGCAACTCGCTCTTGGCTGGTCTTCCCATGCAGGCCATCAAGCCTCTGCAACTCATCCAGAATGCAGCAGCACGGCTCATCTTCAATCTCCCCAAGTTCAGCCACGTCACCCCACTGCTGCACTCCCTTCACTGGCTTCCTGTAGCTGCACGCATCAGATTTAAAACCCTAATGCTTGCCTACAAAGCCAAAAATGGACCAGCCCCTACCTACTTGATGGCAAAGGTGAAATCTCAAACTGTACCACGAGCCCTTTGAGCTTCGAGTACAACTCGGCTTGACCCGCCATCCTTCAAGGCGCGCGGAAGACAAGCATCTAGACTGTTCTCTGTACTGGCACCCAGGTGGTGGAACGAACTCCCACTGGCTGTCCGTACAGCAGAGTCTCTCGCTGTCTTCAAACGCAGACTGAGGACACACCTGTTTATTCAGCACTTAAATGAGCACTGAATTAAGTATTGATTGTAATGTATTGTACTGCACTTATTGAAATGTATTGTATTGTATTGCACTGCGCTGTGTTTAACTCTATTCCTTTTTCTCTGGGTATCAACAGCGACTTTTTGTTTCTAGCAGTATCTGAGCTCAGGACTAGCTTTCTCTCTAACCTATTGGTAACTAGCAAAGGTACTTTCTGTAGTCAGTTTTTATTGGTCAATCTAAATACTTCTGTCAAATGACAGGTTCATTTCTTTTATTCATTCCATACTCACTATTGTATATTAATTGTCAAATCTTTATTGTGTATTCATATTGATTTTTTTGTGCTAATGTTTTGCATTTACATTTACAGCATTTAGCAGACGCTCTTATCCAGAGGGACTTACAAGAAGTGCTTTGTCTATCTACAGTTAGAGGCCTATCATGATAACAGATGAGACATAGATCTATGAAAACCAGTGACCACTGCTAGAAGCAAAGTGAAAATGAAAATGAAATCTTTGATTAATGATTTCTCTATTCACCAACATGGAGGAAAAGCTAGTTTTTGAACACCTAATGCTGTTCAACCCTCACCACAAAGATGAAATTTGAACATGAAAAAAAGATTTCTGTTTATTATATATGTCAGGTTTGAAATCTTTTGTCTCTCATTACGGTTGTTTACCTTCTTTCTAATTGCTGTTATGTTTACCTACTTATTAATCGAATCAGTGTCCTACTTCTTTTTAAGCACAAGATTTGGCATTTCTTGCATTCAGAAAGGTGCCATCCGTATGCTTCCCAGTGAGGTTATGATTATGACTGATTTTCTAGTCTCTAATACCTGTAATTTTGGAAAACAAACAGTAGCACACTGATTTGGTCTGTTCCTAATCTAATCTTTATTAGACGTTTGTGTAATATGTTGCAAAATGTTCACATTTCATTGATTTGGGGTTGTATAAACAGTAGAGTGATATTACTGCACCTGCTCTATTCCTGGTTTATCTGGATTGAGGAGTGGTCTGGTCTCTACGTGTTCTGGGACAAGTTTGCAGCCCACTCGGGGAATCTCCTCCCAGTGTTTCAGCACAGTAAGAGCCAAATGTTCTTCTGTTTGCTTCTTTAGACCTGCAGACATACATCACCAGTTAGACATTCATGCTTTCAGGGCTGTATCAAGGTCCTGTTGAGAACATGCTGAGACATGTAGTTGTAAACAAATAAACTAGGACTGCCAGAAATCCCTTACATGACTCACCATTTTCGTCCTCGATTTCTGTTGGCCCCAGAAAGATGCGGTTTGAAACTTTGACTTTTCCACCTGGGCTATAATGCGGCCCGTCCAGCTTACCCTCCTTACACAACTTTGCAAGGAGCTGAGTGGGCTTCTGGGGGTCTCGCCACACGTTGTACCCATGGCTGTGTGCATAGGACAAACGTCAAACACTATTGAGACACTGTTCACAACTGCTGAAACTGTTGCTTACAGAGCAAGAAATGTGTTGATGGGCTAAAGATGCATGGTGGAATTATAGCAGACAGTTTAGAAGAGGAAATACTCACAGAGAGTAGTTGGATGCGATGCCGCAGGTGGCTCTATGTTTGCTGTAGTAACGGTTCTCCAGATCAATCTTGGTCTCTCCGATCAGGTCATCAGTGCCAACTAAATCCCAGTCATATACTGAGACTGTCAGCATAGACTCCATTGGGAATGTGGCCTCTATGTCAAATGATCTATAAAAGAGTAAGCCATGTTTAATTAGAGAAAAATAAAAACCTAATAAAAACAACCAATAGCAAAGAACAACTTTTTTACAGTAAAAATGTTTCTTCCAAGCCTCACCAACACTACATCCTCAGTCTGCTGTAAACAGAATCAAGGACTTCCCAGTTCTTTAGGCTCATTATGTTAGCATAGTGTCATTGCAGTCATTTTGTTTACATTTATCTGCTACATCTCTACTATTTGGCGTGATTAACAGCTTTTATGCATGAAAAAAAAGACAAAGCACAGACTACAACTCTGCTATATCCACCATTTCCTCAATCTTCTACCCTTGCTATTACCACAACTGATAACCTGATACTACTGATACTGCTATTCTTTTGTTATCAGATGTGAAAGCAGTGTTAAACACTTTCACACATACTTCCCAAAGACAGGATTCAGCTGCTTAGATATGTAGTTCTCCTTGTCCTTAATCTCTGACTTTCCCAGCTTAATAACAATGTAGGGGTCAGCTTTCCCGTTTATGTCTGCAGGGTGGAGGTCTGTTGCCTGAAAAAAACAAAACAATTCCAGCTCAGCATTTACTATGTTGTGTAGGGCTGTCGTGATTACTCAGAGTGTGAAAAACAGTCAAACTGCCATTAAGTACAATACATTTTTCAGTGCCAGCAAACAGCAAAATACTCATGTGCACAAAACAATGGACCAAGCCCAAAATATTTTTTTAATTACTCTTTATTTCTGTTAAAGGTTGTCTGCAAGTTTGTCTGCAACATCTAAAGAAATTAAAGCAAAACAATAAACTATACTAAGTTATTTTGATCTATTTGTTTAATGATTTGGTTTTAAGACCATTAAAAGCTTATTGGCCCATTTTTTTCGAGTGTATATTTAACAGAAAATTGCACAGAAGCCTCATGAATATAATATTATTTTTTTCAGTATTCGGTGTGTCCACCCTTTGCCTTTGTGACAGCTTCTATTCTTTTTTTCAGGAGATTTGATTTTTTTCATTACTTGATTTTCAAAGGAATCTGCAGGGAATTTTTCCACATCTCCAAAGTTCAGTCTCAGAAAACCAGCAGCTGATCTGCAAATTTTCTACTTTTTTGTTTATTTCCTTTTCCCAGAAATGGCTTCTTGACAGCTACACATCCTCTCAGACCCATAGTGTTAAGCTGTCTTCTCGCAGTAAAAGGATGCACAGAAACACCTTTCCAGATTTGAAGTAAGAGTGGAGCTTGATTTTTTTCCTCTCTCTCAAAGATGAAGCCAAATGCTGTTTGCTGATGCAACCATATAAAATTGGATTATTTAATAACCAATCGCCTCAGAAATATTTCCTGAAAAATTAATTACTCATGCTTCATGGTGAATCAGGAACCTAACTAATACTTAACTAAATGAATGAAGGGTGGTCTCCAACATTTGCACACTACAGTAGTATTTTTGCTTTTTTAATGACATCCTTTAAAGATCTCCATGTTTATCTTTTCAAAATAAATTACTTTGTAATCTCTGAAAGTCTATGCAGATTTGTTACTGTTCACTTAAATCCAGTATTATATATTGGTCCATTGTTCCTTAAAATATAGGTATTTGATTATGACTAGAAACAATAGTGATGGTGGAAACAAAGGTGAAGTGGAGGCGTAAGCAGTAAGTAAAAATGTTGGGGTTCTAAGTACATAAAAGACTCAGAGATCAAGGATGAGCACTGACTTACCCTGATAACGTAAACCCTCACAAGCACATTGATGGGATCATTGTGTGGGATGCTCTGAAACATGCCCATATTAGGATCGAATCCTGCTTCTCTGGTGATCTCATCGGACAGAGGCAGCTTGTACATGCACAGCGAGCCCTAGGTTAAAGGTCACACAAAGAGGTCAGTAACAGAACACAAATGAAGCACTTCACCAGAATGAGAATGTCTACTTAATCCCGTGTTTATGACTTGAATTTTTTAAAAAACTGCCAGTCAAAAGCCTGGAAATACATTGCCTTTCAATTTTTTTATTTAACTGATCATATTTTCCTCAGCAGCTTACAACATTTTAAAATGTTAAAGGCTTATTTTGTTTATTTTGATAAAATCATAATCACACAGAAACATAAGTGCTACTATATGAAGAATATCAATGCTCACAAATCACACAGCAAAAATGATATTTTGGCAAATTAAATAATCTTACATGTAGACAATATGTTAAAAGATTGCTTTTTGAATGAAGCATAAAGAGCACAGCCAATCAGAACAGAGGTGATCTGTCCAATGAAAAACAAAATTGTATCTCCATTTTTTGCAAATTTATACCTTTTTGCATCATGTGGGCTTAGTAGCTGTCATTTACATTGTGTGAAAATTTCACGATGATTGGACCAATAGAAATGCTCCAAAATTGCTTAGAATAAAAGCTCTTTCCATTAACTTACATTTAAAGGTAAGAGTGTTTTTGCCCTCTCCTGTGAAATTACTATTTTGGAGATACTTGTTTTTCTTTGGACAGCGACGATATACTCAGGTTAAAGGCACAGTGACAAAAGCAGACTGGCTGGAAAATGGTTATGTACGAAAGCACTCTGACTGTTTATGGTACACAGATCCACACAAATGTCTTACGTGGACTTCAGGTGGAAAACAATTAAAGATATGAAGCCTTTAAAGTAGCAGTGATAAAGATTCAGAGTAGGGCAATAGCCAAACTTATCATAAGCCAGAGTACTGCTGATATTAGTAAGCGTCATACTTTGAATCGGCCGACAATCCTGTCATCATCCACCATGTTGTGGTCATCGTCATCTATAGCCTTCCCTCTGTATAGGTTGAAGGTGTGAAGCCAGTCCTCAAAATGATCAAACTCACTCTCCAACTCCTTATTGTATACCTGAGACCAAACAGCTCAATTTGAAATGTGGCTATATATATATACATATATATATATATATATATATATATATATATATATATATATATGTAACATAATCAGACGAAATATAAAAATAACGAATTAATGCTTTGTGCAAGAAACTACCCCCCCGCTAAGTGGGCGTACTTCCAGAGAATATGAAGAAACACTGACCATAAGCTCATCCACTCTGGGTTTGGGCACTTTTTTCTCTGTCCCATCACTGCCATGGTTCTTTTTCTTGTCCTTGGAGTTCTTGGACTTTGTCTTCTCTTTGGGCTTGGTCCCTTTCACATGAGAGTCATCACCTTTGATTTCTGAGGTTAGGGTTGTGGTGGGGGTGGAGTAGGTGGGAATGGAAGAGATGGGCGGACACAACACTGGACATGTCATTGACCATCTAACACAAAGACATTTCTAAGCCATGAGAGTTAAAGGACTGATTTGGTGATCTAATTTATACACTTTTCCACTTACTCCAGATGTAGTCAATCAGCCAAGACATGTTTGATGTCCAAATTTGACTTCTTTATGAGGCTAATGCTGCTAACAAACACTAGACAGCAACAGCTGACCAGATCTTTACTGTAAACACATACCCCATACTTCTTTCAACCAGTTCAAAGAGCATTCATTCATTCATTTATTAGGGTGGAACAAACCTGTGTATGTGGTTTAGGTCACAGTATGACTTACTATGAACTATAAAAATCAGCTGTATGGTTTTGTTCATTTTTTTAGCCCATAGCAAGTCATACAGGGTCATGAACCATCAACAAATCTGAGCAACCTGGATGCAGTTTTAAGCATTTTGGGGATGTATTAGTGGAAAAGATTTGGGTGATTATTGACTGCTAGTGTTTGTTAGCAACATAGCTCAAGTTTTAAACTAAAGAAGAAAAAATTTGCATACCGAACATGACTTGGTTGATCAACTACATCTGGCATAAGCGGAAAATTGTGTAAATTAGATTTATCACCAAACCATTTGTTTTAAATATAAAACCTGCAAACGTGTATCAGTGCAAGCACTTCAAAAAAGGTGTGACTGAAGTCTGGAGTTCAACCTTCATGGCAAGAAATACAGACATGAACATGGGGGGTACACTTTCATGTGATGACTACAAAAATGACGGATTGGATACAGAATGGATAACAGTACTCGTGTGGAATATGACAGTGTGCACATTGTTTCTTATACCATGATGCACCTTGGCTCAGTGTTAGTGTACTGTTTCAAAGTTGAGTCTGTTGTGACTTGGAGTGGCTAAGTGTGTGTTGCTATCTTGGATCATGATCTTGGTTTCTTGGGCCATCTAAGATGGATTTTCTTTTCCTTTTTTATTTTTACCCAGTTTTCTTCTTACCATCAGCTGCACTCTTACTGCACGATAGCTACAGTACTGTATGGTGAGGGCTGACACATGTAGCCAGCCGGCATGTTTCCATCCTTTCCCCTGAAGACTGATTTGATATTTATCATTTGATCTGTGATCTGTTGGCAGGTCCCTCCCTTCCTAATGCTTGCAACTATATACTTTAGATGTTAGTTTAATTGCCAGCTAATATATAGTAATTGCTGGATTATAAGCATTAAAGGGTAACTCCACCGATTTTTCAAATTTCTGCATATTTTAATGGTTGAGATGTAAACAAAGTTATTCAGCGTTTTGATGTGAAATGGTTCATTGTACAGAAGCTTACCGACTCAGATGTTTTTACAGTGGTGATAGGAACCAGGGATCACAATAATGACGACACAAATATAGCAATTTTATTTACTATCTAAAATGACCAGTGAACCTACATGTGTCTTCTGAGTTTTCATATGTAATGTTGTAAAATAGAAATCTGACATAAAAAGTATTCTTTGCGAGGTTGTTTGCTGTACAACACCCTGCATCCATTTAATTATGCAGAAAAAAACATTGAATCGTGTAAAAAATCTGTGTCCACTTTCAGATAATGACAAACCTGAATGGCTTGAGTGCTGACAAGTGCTGACATCACAACAAGGGTACAAGCAGATATTGTCACATGATATCTTTTCTTCAAAAAAAAGTAGTTAGCCTTTAATATACTAAGTTATTACAAACTAACAAATTAAGGATGCTCATTTGTATCAAATGTTTTGAAACACTAGATGGCCAAAACGTGTGACAGGCAGTGTTTGTGACTTAACAGATGATTAATCGATGAATCAACAGGGAAGGAGTCGCTAAAAGCCACCTTTCTCACTAATGAGATAAGCAGGGCCGACTGTGTTCTCATGGACTTTGAGTCGAGGATGGCTGTATCGCTGGGTCTGAGTGATGGGACAGAAGCAAAGCAGATGTGTTTCTGTCTTTACCTGCGTTCTCTGCTGCAATCTCCATATCCTCCCGCTCCTCCGCCTCAGCCCAGGCTGCTTCCTGGGCTCGCAGGGTCTACATGCAGGTAAAGAGAGTTAACACTTTGAACCTGAGCCAAAAAGTCTGCCTTTTCACTTAGTCTTTTAATAATGTGATGTCGCATTAGGTTCATATGTGAAGAACATGATCTAACTAGGCCAGAAAATCACAGATTTGTGCGTGTTGGGAGTTTTTATAAGGTGGATGGCATGGGGTGGATGGTACAGTGCTGGGGGGTGAAGGGTAAGCTGTGTAATTTTGTTATATATTGTTATTTACTGTGCTTACACTGTGTCTCTGTGGTGATGTTTTACCCAAAAGTGAGATGTTATGCGGATGATGATAATTAACTTCGGATTTTAGCTTAAATGTGTATACAAGGTCCATCCATGCCATTTTACCAAATATATTTTTAACTCTTTTACAAGCCATTTATTACACATTTCTATAACCTAAGAACAGCTCCATTAGTTTGCAATGAAGTCTCTGCAGTTACTATATAATAAGGCTTTAACAAGTTTAGATATTCATTACTTATTCATGTACTTTGAAGCAAGCATATATTTGTACAAATATAAATTTGTTTTGGTGACTATTTATTTCCAGTGTTTGTCGACACTGTTAGTCTTGCTATTTCAGTTCTAAACTAATCTTGGGCACCAAACATGTCTTCGTAAATCGCCTGCGGAAAATCACGTAAATTTGATTTTTTGCCAAACTATTCCTTGAAGCTACATTTTTATCCAGGGAAAAAGCATATAGGTTTTGAGAAATACTGACATAACAGTCTCTCACCTCCATCATTGTCTCTATTGAGGCAAAGTACTTGGACCACCAGTCCAGCATGCTCTCATCTGGCTCTTCTTCTTCCACCTCCTCTCCCTTCTTTTTCTTCTTCTTCTTTTTCTCCTTCTCTTTTTCATCCTCATTCTATTAAAGTGAGCAAAAATGATGTCATTGCTTCTCTTAAAGCTTTACACTCAGTAATTATGTAGAAGAACACAATAAAGGAGTGAAATGTGTACTGGGTACTACTCTTAAATACTTTTGAATTAAATTGATTACTTTAATACATGTGTCTTTTGGTAGAAGATGCTCATGTGGGAAGTTATAAAGATGTCACCCACTATACATAAAGCTTTTAATCTAAACTCATTGTGCAACTTACCACATCAATTTTAACAACTGCGTCAGAGGTCTACAGAGAAGAAGCCACATAAAACAGACATCAAATCAAAACAAACATTTATACACCAAAATGAGGATGAAATGAACACACAGAGAACCACATATAGGGAGAGTGGGGCACAATCTAACACTTTTTTTTTTTGATGAATAATTTTAAAAGTTTTTGAGCGAGAAGAATATTTTTATCATACAAGCAACCTACACGTCTCTGCTACAAATGAAAACATAAACTTTCTGTTCTAACTGCTTAGACAACTCTGCAGATGGTCTGAGCTAACTACAGAAGCTAAGCAGTTGGAGCGAAATCCTGGGGAGGCTAACCCCATAGGCATGGTTCATTGTGAGTTAGTTGTAACAGTTGCTGACAAGTCTGATAGTTTGAGGCAAATCACACTTCATTCAGTACATTTCCATGTTGTTTGAACCAAATGAGCTCTCTAACCTAAATACATACAAATACATTCATCAAAACATACAATTAATGAAACAGGCTATGTCAAAGAGTGGCACAGAAAATATAAAACTGAAATATATGTTATTTACATAATAACTATAGTATTTTTTAAATCAATTTGTGCACAGAAACTCCCAAAGAATGAACTCTTTTGAATTAACATGGGGAGGTATGCATTTCTCTCCTAGTTTATTTGGGGAGGCTTAATTGTAACAATGTGTTAAACTAACCCCGCCATGTGTAGGCTGCACTTTAGCCTGGCTAGCTTTCACTGTGAGTTGCTTACATGCTTTTAAATGGTGCTATGTTTGTGTAGGCACCAAGAAGGCAAATAAAATGTAAATATGAATTCTGTGCTTTATACTAACAACACAGTAATAAAAAAACACATATGATTTTTGTTTTCTGATCGCTATCAAAATGCACATATGTTGTTGCTCTGGGAATACGAGAAGATGCCCAAAACTATGTTCTACTTGAACCTGTTTAACTGCATAAATGTTACATTTTACCCTGTGTTAGGTTGAGCCCTGCTCTCCTCTACACCTTCAACTGTGACTAGCACATGCAAATGTACTCATGAAGTAGACTATCCTTACAGTTCTCTAATCTTAGAGCATGACCACAAAAACTCACAGCATCCAGTTTGACAACAGTCTCCATCTTCTTGATGTTGGGCTCAGAGTCCATATTGACCACGATGTCACCTGAGGAGTGAGAGATGGGGCGGGAGTAGGGACGGGAACGGGACGTCCCATTGGTGAGAGCCATGTAGCCATTGGCCAGTCTAGCTGGAGTGGGCAGGGTCATGTGGTTGAACATTCAATAGCCAGCAGAGAGCAGGACAGGACAGTGGCACCCACAGGTGAGAAAGAAGACAAAGTGGAACGGAAGAAAGAAAATTAGCCTGAAGAAAAAAAAATCTAACTTTTTTTCCAAAGCCAGTTCAGTCTTGCATGCTCTCTACAAGCAGTGCTACATTGTGCCAGATATATCTGAGTGAAATGGTGCATAAGAAGGTTCTGAAGGGTAAGAGAGCTTTCTAGGGAAACTTGAGGAGATTTAAGGGAAGGTCACAAGCAACATCATCAGTCAGAGATCAGGCAGTTACCTGTATGGGCCCAGTTGTTAGCTCGCTTGTCAGGGGGGGTGTAGATGAATTTACGTAGACTAGTCACAGCATGTGAGCCCACCAAGGTGTAGCGGCCAAACGCTCTGCAGTCCACCACTCGGATGTTCAGAGGAGGATGGAGCAACTCATTCTCTGGCAGGTCCTGCAACAAAACATGTTGTCTTAACATGGTGCTCACACAAAATATCCATAACTTTTACAGAGGTCAAAAGGTACTACTTTCATTTTGCTAAATGTAATCAAATAATTATAGAAGATTATTTCATTAGATTTACATTCTGTATTTACAGGTTTAAGTATGCAATTCTGACTTGTTCCATCTGGTTTGATGACAAGAATTTCTAAAAACATACAAAAAAATGAAAAGGCTGGTTTTCCTTTCCATAGAACAATATATTATGAAAGACAGTAAATTTCCATCAAAATCAAATCGTAACAAAATATCTCCTCTTCTACTTGTGAAAACAAATGTGGTATTGACTGAAGGGGTTTATAGTCTGCACTTCAAACAGAATTTCACAGCTTCCTACATTTAACTATAATTATACAGAAATTATAAATGACCATTGACACCATACTCTTGCTATTGCCGGCAATAACTGGCATAACAGACAGAACTCACCACTTCAAACCACTTCACCAGAGTGCTGAAGTTTGGATTTTTCTTGTAGTTCTGAATGAGGGCTGATTGGATTCCTTTGCCTGCACACTCAATGTCCACTCGAGGTCTGTCCACCTGCGCCAGGTTAATTCTCTTCAGATCCCTCAGGCCCCAGAACAAAACCTAGAGAGTGATAGAGTCGGTCATCCTCACACAGTCCTTGTAAAACAGTTAATCTACACAAATGCTGCACTAACAATGAGAGCAGCCATCATCATAAAGGAGTCATGTGATGGAAAACTGCAAATCATGGAAGAGACCATATATGGAAACTAAGCTGCAAAAACTACCAGTTTTAAATTCACTGTAGTTGTGTTGTCACACAGTGTAAGTGTACAATATGGTCACTTATATAGTGAATGACATTTGTTGTGGTGACTTCATCACCTCTATGCGGTATCTGCTGAGGACGGGCCGTATACCCAGAGGCACCGGTAGGATGGGTCCACGGTCAACATCAGATGGTCCATCAATTGGAGGGAGCTCTGTCCGTCCGGCTGGACCAATCTGTGGGTGGACGAGCATTCAGCAAAATAAACTAAATATTATGGCTTTAATATATTCAATAAGGAATAAACAACAGTGTATTCGTAGTACTATAATTATGACAAGACATTTTAAAGTCCCAAGGAACCTAAACCATTGTTTTCTTTTTCACTAAGTTAGTGCTCTTTAGGAATAACTTTCCAATGACCAATAAATGACCAACATATTTTGGCATATATATTTGGCACTGCATTTAATGGTTTAATATCACACTCAATTTTATTATCATAAAAACATTTTTAAAATGTTACACTGTGTTCCCTGGGACTTTAATACAATCTGCTTGTTTTGCTAATTATCTTCCATTCAAACCTCAAGGAATTTAGCACAAGACAGAGGCCAGAGGAAAGCAACAGTAAAGAGGATGGAGAACAAACTGCAGAGAAGTGATGCCTGAAAGAAGCACCTTAATTTGAGGGACAGCAAAGTCATGGACAGCAATAAGAGCCCTCCTGATCTCCTCATCATCATAAGGGATCTGCCAGGGGGCCAGTGAATGGGACACAGATGGGACAGAAGGTCATGGAAGAATGATGTGAAAGTGGAAGGAAAAGTAGGAAGAAAGACAGTTAATAAAGGAAGGAAAAGCTGTAATTATAAAAAGAAGTCAGCAACAGCTTGGGTAACTAATCTGAGTGTGAAATTGTGTGTGTGTGTGTGTGTGTGTGTGTGTGTGTGTGTGTGTGTGGTGTGTGTGTATGAGAGAAATCTTATTACTCCTTGATTTTGTTTCTGACATGACATGCGTTATTATAAGGGTGACATGTTACCTGAACTCTGAAACATAACATTGACACAACCATGCCATAAACATGTCAAGGCAGATGTTGTATTTTGCAATGACAGATTTTGTTCTGTAATATAACAGTGTTGCCATTACTGGTAATTGTTATGCCAGATGTCGTAATGTTTGATGGATAACTAAAATAAACAGCAAAGATTAGCATGTGACATGAGTTGTCAGGACATCAAACATTATAGCATCTGTCATGACAATTACCAGTAATGGTATGTCAAAGTTCTGCAGTAGGGTTCAAGTACAAAGTTGCCACTATGAGGTGCACTTTGGGCCCAGCAGTTCAAAGGACTACATCAAAGATAGCAAAAGCCATGTGCAAAAATGAAGATCTATCCAATATACAAAGCTGACTCATACATTCTGAGCAGGCGCTCAGTCCCTGTTTAAGATGTGAATGACTTGCAAGGTGCTATACCTGCAGGAGCTCAAAGGCAGCCAGCAGCTCTCCTGCAGGGCAGTTTCCTCTGTAGATCTGGTAGTATTCCAGCTGCGGTGGGAAGCGTGGCGGACCGTAATGCTCATCCACCATCTTGCTCAGCGGCTTCGCAAAAGTTCGACCGATGAACTCTGCTTTCCCCTGCACATTACACACATACACATATATAAAACAATGATGTGAAACCATTCACAAACACTAGGGGCCAGTATTGGCACACATGACACAAGCAATACCACATTTGTGTGTTACAATCATTGGGGATAAAAAAAAATTGTAGATTAGAGAGATCAAAATCCAGGTGCAGTAAGGAATGTAAATGTTGAAATGTTTCTTTATACATCAAGATTTTATTAAAGGTACGAAGAAAAAGTACACAGCTTTAACTGGACTTAATGCACCTAATGTAATACATGTGTAACGTGACAAACTGTTGAAGTGTAAACCCATTTAAATCAGTTTCATAACAGAATTTTGCAAAAACGTATCAAGAGGCACTTTCATGCACAGGGCCGAGGCACACAAACACTCATAAGCTTTGTTACTCATTTAATTTTGCAATATAACTCTCAACTCCCACGCTCACTACAGCACCAATACCATGGCTGCAGCTAAAATGACAGCTACAGCTAAAACTACAAGCAAAAGAAAAATAAACAGCATCACTAATCTCTAATTGCCGAGAACAAGGAAATGCAAGGGGGGTGGTGACCCAAAGGAAACATCTGGGTTCCCTGTAGCAGACTGGTTAGTAAGAGGCACTTTTAATGCATTCTGAAATTATGCATATACAGCACTTGCAGAAATCAGAGAATACCCTACATTTATTGAATTTTTGTAGTAAAAAACAAGCTATTCATTTTTCAGGATTAGGAAAAAACAGCATATATTTAGCCATACACTACACAGAAGAGTTTTGCTGTCAGTTTTTTCAAAGAAATCTTCAAGGATATTTTTCCACATCTTCAAAGTTCAGTCTTAGAAGTTGGTTGCATTTTCTGCTTCTCATGATCCAAGTGATCTCAAACACTTTGAGTGGTATTGAGGTCTGGACTCTGGGATGGACAGTCCAGCTTATTTGTTTGATTTGCAAATGCTCTTCTTTTTTGTCTATTTTCTTTTCTTAATAACGGCTTCGTGACAGTTACACATCCTTTCAGACTCATAGTGTTGAGTTGTGTTGAAGTGGAAGGATGGACAGAAACACCTGTGGATTTTTTCAGATCTGACGCAAAAGTGGTTTACCAGGTCTTGCACGGTTGTTAGGAGTCCCATTTTCCCTATATTTTTTAAATTAACTCCAGTTTTGGAAAATCATTTTATTTTTTTCACTTAATTTCCTTTATTATCCAAGCGGATTATCTTATATCTAATCCCCTCTGAAATATCTCCTGAAAAATGAATATCTTGTACTTAAAGGCTGTTTTGACTGGAAATGAAATAAATAATGGGTGGTCTCTGACTTTTGCACCTCTCTTTTTGGGTTCCAGCCCCAGCTCAGTCCACCTCTTGCATGCCTTGTAAAGTCTAACTGCCTTTAGCACAGCTACAGCAAGCTTTCACACTCTACTTAGCCAACATGTCATCCAGCACAGGGGCAGAGCCAGAGAGTCAAACAGGAACAAACATCTAGTCAGCACAATGGGACATATTTCTGTACAGTCTTATCAGAGCTACACCAGAGCACCTTATCAGTCTATTGCAGACTTGACAAATGGAAAACATGTTGAAAATACAGGACTATTTCTGGCAGTGGCAACATTAGGGATCCATTTATTGTCTTACAGTAACAGGATAATTATTAAGTCCTTATAAATACTGAATCTTACCACAGTGTCCTGGTCATAAATTTCTATGACAATGATTGGAGGGTCATCACGGAGTTCAGTCGCTTCACCGTAGAGCTCTACATTATCAAACACCAACAGCTGGTCCCATGTAGGACACAGAGTTTCACTGAGCACCTGAAACAGCCAAACACATCCACACATTAACTCAGACATTTCACACATTACAAAAAACTCTTTGGTTAATAGAACACACACACACACACCATCTAAACCACTTATCCCTCTGGGTCACGGGGGGGGGGCTGGAGCCTATCCCAGCTGTCACTGGACAGAAGGCAAGATACACCCTGGACAGGTCGCCAGTCCATCGCAGGGCAGACAGACATATACAGCCACACACACGATCACGCACACATTCACGCCTAGGGGCAATTTAGCGCATCCAATTAGTCTGACTGCATGTCTTTGGGCTGTTGGAGGAAACGGAGTACCCAGAGGAAACCCACACAGACACGGGGAGAACAGGCAAACTCCATACAGAAGGGACCCTGGTCGCCCGGCCGGGAATCAAACCCAGGCCTTTCTCGCTGTGAGGCGACAGTGCTACCCACTGCACCTCCGTGCCACCATTAATAGAATAGCACAGTATAATTTACATAGTTTAGCAGACATCAACTAATACATTCTTTGAAGACACACCTCTGTGACCTGGCTGTGTGTGGAAAAGAAGACCCTGGCAAAAGGATCAGAAAGGCCACTACTGTCAGCGGCAAACAGACTGCGAGCCTGGTACATGTGAGCCCTCAGCTGGAACACCTGCTTCACTAAAGAAAGAGACAGCAGCTCATGAAACCAGTACAAACATATCACAGAGTGACACAACATGTGCTATTGTGCTACTGTATGTTTATGTTCTCAAACATCCACAGCAGATAAACAGTATATAGTAAATAGTATACACAGCACACTAAAGAAGGCATGCCAAATCTGGTTTTGAGACAAATCATTAAAAGTGTAAAAGTAAGAGCATACTCACTGATACGATGAATTTAACATATTGGGGAATTTTTAAACATAAAATGTCACTTGTGAAAAAGTCCAGTATGTTAAACCCAGCAAATAAATAGAAATTATGCACTACAATTGCAGAAAAATGCCATATTTAAGTGTTTTATTCTCACCTAAAACATCAACACAACATGTTGCATAGGACTGTATATTTGTCCTTCTCACCCACATTTTGCTTATTTTAAAACAAGAGAGCAGAGCATGATCACATGGCACTTACTGTTATACACAAGGCTGATTGGAGGTACAGCCTGCAGGCCTGTGCCCTTTACTGCCTTATTCTCCTCAAAGCCACTGGGCAGACCACTCAGGAAGTCCTTCCTCTGTTTATTCAGGCCCAGCCACAGGTACATCTCCAGCTTAGCCTGGACTGTCCAGCCAGCCGGACCAAAGCCTTTCTTTCCAGGCAACTGCACATAAACATACAACAGTACAAGGCTCTTAATAATCATGTAGTCAGCTCAGTTAAATTTTCAGGTAAATGGTTCACTGAAAAATCAAATTTACAAAATCCCCTCCTTACCCCAAACCTAATCAGCTAAGACACATTTAAGTGACTTAAGTAACACTTTATTGCATTCATAAGGCTACACGACACTTATATAAGCCTTTTATAAAGCTGACATAAACCTTCAGTCATACAAACGTTTGAACAGCCCGGGTCAAATTGCTTGTTTTGTTGGTTTTCAAAGGGAAAATAAGTGAATACATCCTTTACAGAGAGCACACTTAAATGTGTTGTTTTTCTGCACATTTTAGTACACAAATTGTATGTATTTGCTGAGTTTAACATACTAGAAAAACAAACTTTTACACAGACCAAACATTTTGTGTTTTATTTTACTCCTGTATGTTAAATTCAGCGGGTAAATTGTGCTTTAAACGGTGCAGAGGTGTGTTCTACGTGGAGGATGTGTATTTACCCTTAACAAATTATCAAAACAACATCATTTGACATTTGGGTGCCAAAACTTTCGCAAAAGTACAGTATGCAGACTGTACTTATTGTACAGTCTGTACTGTAAGGTTTATTTCAACAGTGAAATGACTTCAAAATGAAGAAAAGCAGCCTTTGTGACAATGTTGATGATTCTGTAGCTTCTATAAAAGTTTATTTAGGTTTATGTCAGCTGTCAAGAAGGGCTTAAGTAAGTGGCCTGTAGCCCTACGAATGCTGCCCTTCAGTAAAGTGTTACCATGACTTATATGTCATTACTTTTTAGCTACATTAGATTCATAGTTCCATTTAAAAGCTACAAAAGCAAACTTTGGACAGTAAATAAGTCTTGGCCGGTTTACTACATTTAGAGATAAGGGGGAAACTGTGTAAATTTGATTTTTCAGTGACCCGTTCCTGTAGGCTCAATAAATGTTATTAATGCGCTATTACCTCCTAGAAAAAGTAAGTGAAATAGAATAGAATAAAGAGCACAAAAGAATATACATTACCACGGAAAGCGTATACAGGGACACATAGAGGGACTTACCCGGAGGAAGACAGCTTTGACCTTCCCACAGTCTTTACCCCTCTCCTCATCTACTATAGAGTAGAGGATGTCTTTGGTAGGAATGCGTGCGTAGGCTATACGTTTATTGTTACTCATCATCCATATGAACACGTCTGGAATGCTGTGCTGTGGCTGAACGATATAAAGTTGTCATATAGTCAAAAAACAATATTCTCATAGAACTACAGAGTGATGTTCTTACACATTTAAAGTGCTAACTAACCTCTTCAGCCAGGAAACGGAGCCTATGCAGGAAGTTCAGAGCCAGTTTGAGTTTGTCCCTCACAGTGTTTCTCTTCACTTGAGAGCGGATTGTCTTGGCCTGCTGGCCCATGCTCTCCTACCAAACAAATACATCAGCTAAGATAATGTCTAGCAATGACAGTGTCTACAGGTTGTGAAATATGATGCCATACCATCTCTCTCATGCAGGACTTCAGCCTTTCCTGATCTAATTTAGTTCTTCCTGCCAGGTTCTGATCTTTGTTGGCCAGAGTGACAAATCGACTGTCAGGATAAAAAATCATTGAAAATGAGAAGACACTTTGACACTTTGATGTCATAACTGGGCACAGTTTGGCCACAGAAGCTTTTGCTGACTCATTTTTCTATTAACTGCGTGTTAAAAAGTGCACTGGCAAAAAATCGTGTGGAGTAAATTCACTGTTTTCTTCTAATTAAACTCATTCTCAAACCACTGGGCTGTTAAAAACTCCTCCAGGGGCTTTTGTGATAGGCCTTTTTAGAACTATATTAGCATCACAGAAGGTTTTAGACTTGCTCACACACCTGCAACCAGTGCTCAGCTCCTCCAGAACACCCCTCAGCCTGCGTTCAGGAAAAGCCTTCTCCGTCTTTATGATCTCCTGAACATCATTTAGACCCTCTTCCTGTCAAGCACAGAAGAAAAAGCCATCTATTCTAACTCAAACAAAGTTTTTTTGGTGATACTTTACTTGAACCCTGCTACATAACATGTCATAAACACATCAAGGCAGATGTCATATAGTCAGTGTTCATAAGTCAGAGATCACTTTTTTGTTTGTTCGATTAGCTGCCAGAATGGCTAATAGGTACAAGTTCTTCATTTTTCAGTGTAAAAAAAACACTTTCTTAACTCCTCCATCCATCCAATCTTAAAATCAATGAGTTACAATTGTGTCCTCCCAACAAAGGTTGTTCCCAAAGCTCTCACTGACATTATGTTCCCCTTCAAAGAGACTAACACTGGGGCAACCAACTAAACACACTGTTAGCTGCCTTCAAATTTCTTTATTTTCTTTACCTAAAAATTATTAAAGGAGATATTTCTGAAGAGATTAGATATAAGATAATCCACTTGCATTAGGAAAAAGGAAAATTACAGGAAAATAAGTGAAAAAACAAAGGCTTCCAAAACTCTAGTCAAAACAAAAATTTAAAAGATATGGAGAAAATAGGACTCCCAACAAAAGTGCATGACCTAGTAGACCATTATAAACTGTTCCCATCAGATAAACAGCACTTAAGCTTTCATCTTTAAGAGGAAGAAGAAAATTAAGCCCCACTCTCACTTTAGATCTGAAAAAATCCACAGGTGTTTCTGTCCATCTTTCCACAGTGAGAAGAAAAATGAATAGCTTGTACTTAGCCACTTTGACTGGAAACTAAATAAATGAAAGTGTGGTCTCTGATGTTAACACACTATTGTATGCCAGCATGATTCGTCACAACATATTTTGTTCAGTAATCTAACAGCGTCATGCTACCATTACTGTAAATTGTCATGACAGATTGTCATCATGTTTGATTTCATGACAGCTGATGTCACATGCTACTTTTGGCTGTATACTCTAGTTAGCCATCATGGCATCAAACATTATGGCATCGGTCATGACAGTTAACACTAATGGTAACATGACTTTATTAAATTATTGGACAAAATCTGTTGTCATGATAAGTCATGACATAATACGGCATCTGCCATGACATGTTTATGTGAATGTGAAAACTTTCTAAAGTGAGTAAAGTGTTACAGCTTTTTCAATAATTTATTCCACTTCTAAGAAATTTGAGTCAAATTGTCTAACCAGTTTATCTGCAATCTTGTCCATGATGTTTGAGTTGTAGAGGCGTCTCCTCTGATCCTGCCACCAGCTCTTAATGTAGATGCACGGCTTCTTTTCAAAATACGGCAAGTGAAAGTAGTTCCTGAAAAAGTAGAAATGCGGAGAACCTGAAAATAGAACCTGAAAATAGCTACACCAATAAATGATTAAGAAAATCAATGAAACTGTCCTGCTTACAATAAAAACAACAGCTCTAAAAAGAGAAGTAAAATGAAGAAGAAAGAAAAAATAAGACTGAAACACATTACTGGTCAGGGCAAAATGTCTTTCATTTGAATTAAAAGATAAAAAACATGCTCTGTCTACAACTGCCATCAATCTTTATTTTGTGATCTGTTCATTATTAGATAAAATGGAGTTTCCATTTCAATCTATCAGCTGTGCACCTTTTATTTAAAGCTGAATCGAACACCACCATATTATATAGTTATGTGCTGACACAGCAATGCCACAGAAAAAACACTTTTGGTTCCCTAAAGAATCCTTCAGGGAATGTTTGGGTTCTAAAACAAACAAATATTTTTCTAAGAACTACATATTCATGCCTAGAACTATTCAAAAACCTTTATTTTTAAGCATGTAGTTTCATTGTATTTACTAAATAAAAAGCATAAGATTCAACCTCTGAGCGGTGAACTTCCTGTAGGCTCTGACCTGTCAGTGATCACAGGTTTCATTGGAGGGCTTGTGGACACTGATACTAGATCCCCATCATCCTCGGCCTCTTCATCACTGGAGTTCTGGATCAACTCAGACTCCTCTTCATCACTCTCCCCTATGCCATCCTTCTTCTTCTTCCTCCCTGCTACAGGCTTACTCACTCCATCTATCTGGTTACCATAGTTGCCTGAAAAAAGGAGAGGCATCATTGGAAAGGTTATTCAGGCCACGAGTGGTTGAACTGTTTATTTTGGTCATTTAAAAAGAGTGCTGTGGTGGACGTATTCAGCAATGTGAATAATTTTCTTGAATACACACCAATGGTGACTTCAAAGTTGATTGGTTTATCTCCAATCTTCCTGTCAATCATAGTAGCCTCTAGGAACGATCCGAAGAGGAAAAACTCCTCCACTTTTCCAGTTGCACTCTGAATTGGAGAACACAAAGAGAGTAAGCAGACCCTTAAATAGGGTTCCTACAAGGTTCTCAGTTGAACAGTGTGTTTCATACATATATATATATATATATATATATATATATATATATATATATATATATATATGTATGAAACACATCCCGCATATCCCGCATATCTCTCTAAAACTCCAGACTTCTGTTTTTTAACCTTGGATTCTATCTGTTCAAGTTTGTTTCAAACAGTCATTAGTCATTCTAAACCACCCTTGTAGACGCTGAGAGACTTCTCACCCCGAGCTGAATCTGAATGAAATTACTGGCTGAGACAACAAAAGCACAGCCCTATAGTAAAAGTCTTGAGGGAACTGCTCTGGAACAAAGCTCTGCTTTCTCTGATCATTTTCTCAAATTCCCAACTGCTCGTCCCTATAGTTCTTATCTGTCTCTCTTTCACCACTTCACTCTGGGAGTTTGGTTCTACTATATTAAATTTGAAATGTCAACAACATAATTTGCTCAGTGTAAAAGTGTGCTGAATTTTGCATCCTCAGGACCTTAACTGAATCAATTAAAATCACATACTACTAACTCAATCAGGATCAAACAGGTCGCTGAATTAAGTTAAAATAGGATAAATTGAGCAAACTGTAGCAAAAGTCAACTATGTGGGAAGAGTGGCTGGTTATTATGAGACTGCTCACTCCTTATAAAGTGTACATCAATAGAAGAAACCTTGACTGTAAATTTTAACTGATAGCCTCTGCACAGACATGCCTAGAGAACCTGTTGAACAACCAGTACCGACCTCTGGCAATAAGATCAATATTTAAGACCTCATAAGCTCCATGAAACCCAGAGGCAATGAGATTTAGCACTGTCCACAGTGATTAGTTTCTTTGATAAGTGATTCTAAGCCTGAGAACATAATACTCACAACAGAGATTTCCCTATTGGCCTGTTAACAACTGCTAAACGGCAGACATCAGCTATAAGCTCTGTACTTTATAGATTAAAAACCAACCAATACTATGTATTTAAGCTGGTTTGGTAAGCAAGATTCATCGAAATGAGCTTCTGAAGTAAGAATTCAACCAGACACAAAATTTGAATATTTTATTAAAATTAATTCCATTATTTTGCTAAATGCTTGGCAAATCTACCAAAACAATGATCAACCATTTGCACTGAGTTTACTAATGTTAAATGCTCTTCGTCAGGTAACTAAACATATACACTGATGAGTCGAAATTAAAATAATATAATAACATTGTACTGTTGTAGAAAGTGAACTACACTTCGGAAAAGGTAAAAAAAAACTGAAGTAAGTCACTTTTACGAAGCATTTTAATTTCCATGTGATTGACAACATTTCCTTTCACAAGCTACCCACAATAATTGACGTCTTACCTCTGAAATATTAGAGACTGGCTCCACCTGCACCTCAGTGGAGCTCACTATTTCAGAAGAGGTAGTGTCCAAGATCTCCACGGCAACACTAATGAGGAGGCGGGCCCTGAAGGACACACCCTCTCCCAGTCCGTCGTTCAGGTCCTGGTGTTCGTCCATCAGGGTGTAGTTACGTGTGGAGCCGTACATGTTTACCCAGGCTGGTCCCAGAGTAGGTAAGAACCCTGAGTGCAGAGCAGGTAAGATATTTAGGGCTGTGAAGATGTGAGTTTACATGCCAGTTATTAGAGATGAGTAAAGTTTCACCCAAATGAGCTCTACAGTGGGTGTGTCCAATTGTTGTGGGTGTGTCTTTTAGTTACAGTTGCTCAGTTATACTTACTTAAGACAAAAAGTCATAGAATTTAACTTCTGAGTACCAGGGTTATTATAGTTAACTCCTAAAATGGCCAAAGTTTTATTACACACTTCTATAACCTAACAATAGTTCAACCAGTTTGCATGTAGTTGCTGAATAATAAGCCTTAGTATGTAATAAGCCTGGAATTTTATGGGCTTCAGTAAAACTATTACTAAAATGAAAACTAGAAATGAAAAAAAACATGCTTGTTAACTGTAATAAAAATAAAACCAACAGTTTTGGTTTTTAGTTGCTGAATGTACTAAGAAGTTTCACTTGGATCTCTACACGAAATTCAACATAAGCAGAGTTTTGGACCTCATAATCTTTTATGCTTACTCAAGTTCTTTCACTTCTTCTTGAGTCATTATTTCAATGAGGTAACAATGCTTTTGCTTAAGTATGGATTTAGGCTACTCTACCCACCTTTAAAGAAGCCTAACAAACATTTCCGTATCTTCTTCACAAATTGGTTTCACATTGGAAAAGACTTTGCCTTTTTGTACCTTTGTCTCCATCATTTGAAATCTTTCGTAGGTCAATGAAATGAGTTCCTATGGCGACGTCATTGACCTTGTCAGAATCTCGGATTTGAACTTTCACGCGTTTACAGAGGGGCGGGAACATCTCAGTGAAGATGATCTGCTCGTTCCAAATGGGCTCATAGCTGCTCTTCTGAACTGATGTCTTCCCCTGTTTACACAAGAGGAGGTTAGCAGATTAATGGAAAAGGGAAATTACTGTGAGGCAATTAGCAACCACACCAAGGCAGTGTAATGCATGGTGAAAGGGGCGTCAGGGGTAATTAGCATGGAGCACACTAGCAAATTAGCTGCATGGAAGCTATTGAAGTACACACTGAGCATCGCTGTACTGAGTTGTCTTACTTTCTGGCCTGCAAACTGCACTTGAACATAAGGGTCCACTAGGTCCCTGTTCTCCCCAATGAAAGCCTTCTTCACGTTGGCCATGATGCTGGTGTTCATTTTAGGGAGGCCTTCCGCTCGATAGATCCTCACATAGAAGCGGGCCCACTGCCTCTCTGACGGGATACCCTCAGGCAACAGAAGATTGCTGAGGGCATCAAAAGAGATGAAATAGAGATGAAAGCCATGTCTTTTTACTTGAGCATTATGCAATATAATAATTATGGTAATATTCAGCTTATTTAATGCAAAACTGATTATGCTGAAGTTATGTAAGACTGAGTAACATCCTTCACTGAGGTAGAGGCTTATGTAATATCTGATATAAGAAACAGTAACATTTAGAGCTCTGCTTTTTACCCTTCTATGTCATCTTCATCTGTCTCACTGGCTTTGTGTGGAGTCTTGATGTTGTCACCTTTCCCCACCACTGCTATGTCACATTTTATGTAGCCTTTGCACCCTGCTGTGATGTCATCAGGGTCAGACAGCATGGCCCATTTGTGGTAAAACTGATGCTCTGTAACAAAAAGCCACAGCAATAGATCAATTAAATCAAACAATTTGTTGAAATCTTAGACATTTAGATTTATTCCTGTGGTTTTGCTATGAATTTAATTTACATTACTTAATTTATACAAAATTACATAGTCTATTGTGTAATAAATTACATTACATTCAATTTACATTCTGTATTGATTGATTTAAGTCTGAACTTCTGATTTTCTGTTTATTTTATGTCAAAACATGATGAAACATTGTAAAAGTTAATGTTTTTCAATCTGCAAAACAAACCACATACTTTTCAGCAAATTCAAATCACAACGACACATCTCTTCTATCTACAAACACAAATGTAAAATTAATGAAATTTCTGCAATTTTAAAGGGAATTCCATAGATTTTCTTTATTTTATATTATTTGCTTTATTATGCAGAATGTTTGCATATTAAAGCAGTTAATATGTAAACTAAGCCATTCTGAGTTGTTTGATGTCAAATGTCCCATTTTAGAGAAACTCAGTGTCAGAATAGTGGTCGTGATAGAAACCAGACATGAAAGTTATTACATTAAAAGGTTATGAATGCACTGTCTGATGTCTGAGACATTGTTTTTGATATCACGTTTTGGCCTAAAACATATTTTAAAGACCATTCATGACGGAGGGGAACATTCAAGCTGTTCTAAGGCAAAATAATCCCCAAAGCAAACTTATTTTTTTCAGATTTACCACCGTTTTACCATCAATAACATTACATATAAAAACAAGATGTGTCGCTTCACTGGTCATTTTGGATTGTAAATAAAATGATTATATTTGCATTGTAGACATTGCACCAGTTCCAATCATCCCTTCTTTAATGAAATCCAAGTTAGTAAATTGGGTTGGGTAAATTGACTATTGGGATTCAATTTCACCAGCCACACCCAGGAATGATTACTACCAGACCTGTTGAATCTTAACATCACTTAAATAGAACCTGTCTGGCAATGTAAAGCAGGCTAGAAGGAGAAAAAATAGATAAATTTAAAAGAGATTTAAATATATATGTGAAACAAAGTCATTGAAATCTACCAGCCTGGAAAGGGTTACAAAGGCTAAGGCTCTGGGACTCCAGCGAAACCAAATAATGGAGAAAACTTGGAATAGTGGTGAACCTTCCCAGGAGTGGACGGCCTACCAAAATTTCACCAAGAGTGCATAGACAACTTATCCAGGAGGTCACAAAAAAACCCAGACCAACATCTAAAGAAATGCAGGCCTCAATTAAGGTCAATGCACATGATTCCACAAGAAGAAAGACACTGGGCAAAAATGGCATCCATGGGAGAGATGAGATGCAAAGCGCAAACCACTGCTGACCAAAAACAGCACAAAGGCTCATCTCACATTTGCCAAAAAAATATCTAAATGACCCCCAAGACTTTTGGGACAATATTCTGTGGACTGATTCAAAGGTAAAACTTTATGGAAGATAGATGGGTCCTGTTACATATGGCATAAAGCTACCACATTCCACCATAAGAACATCATACAAACATGGTGGCGGTAGTGTGATGGTCTGGAGCTTCTTTGCTTCTGTAGGACTTGAACTTGTCATAATTGATAGAACCATGAATTCTGCTCTCAATAAGAAAATCCTAAAGGAGAATGTCTGCTATCAGTTGTGACTCTGAAAGTCCACCTCTGAATGGCTCAAAAGAAACTAAATTAAGGATTTGGAATGGCCAAGTCAAAGTCCTGAACCCTACTGAGATGCTGTGGCAACCTTACTAGGCAGCTCATGCTCAAAAACCGTCCAATGTAGCCAAATTAAAACAATTCTGCAAAGAATAGTGGGCCAGTGATGCAAAAGACTCATTACAAGTTATTGCAAACATTTCATTGCAGTTGCTACTGCCAAGGGTGGCACAAACTGTTATTGGGTTTAGGGGGGTAACTACTTTTTCACATGGGTGTAATAGATTTTGAATAAATCTTTATCTTCAATAAATGTAATGATCATTTAATTTTGTGTTTACTTGTGTTGTCTTAATCTTATATTAAAATAAGTTGGATGATCTGAAACATTTAAATGTGACAAATTAGCAAAAAAAGAAGAAATCAGTTGGGGGCAAATACTTTTTCACAGCATTGCACATGCCATGGGGCCCCAATGAGGGTTAACAGTTTATTGTTTTATTTAGCAGAACAAGAGTAACTACCTATACAGTAATTCTGGTCATTATCATTCCAATGATCACTTACCAGGTTGTGAGTAGACTGTTCCTACATCTAGTTTAAAGTTGCCAACCAGTGTTCCACTCCGCAGAAGATTTTTAGAATGAATTACCTGCAAGACAAACACATCACAACTGGAGAGCTGCAACTGAACAAACATAACATGCAATGTTTATATTTAGATGTTTACATGCTGACATAACGATTCTGAAAGCACTGTTAAGTGGGAGTGTTTGAGAGCTCTTTACTCATGTCATGTTTTTATAATAAAAGAAACAGGGTGTACTCACTGACAGCTTCAGGATCTTGTCAAACATGACATCTGGCGGAACATGGAAGTCAAAGACAAAGTACTAGGAGAGGGATGAAAATACAGCATGTTACTGACTGAGCAGCAGTATGAAATGAAACAAGGCATCTTTATCTAACAATCAATGATCATTTAAAAGGCAACACAAGAATAAAGTTATTGATAAATTAACAATGCTAACTTCCCACGAGCACACTGAACATTTAGCTACTGTGTATGAAGTCAAGGACATAGCCTTGACCTTTCCATAGACAAACAATGGTCATACTGAGGAGCTCAATGACTTTACGTGAGGCACCGTCATAGGATGCCACCTTAGCCACAAGTCAGTTTGTGAAATTTCTGCCCTGCTTGATCCATTCTGGTCAACTGTAAGTGCTACTGTTGAGAAACAAAGGCTTTAGGAGAAACAACAGCTCAGCCACAAAGCAGTACACCACACAAACTCACAGAGCAAGGCTAGCGAGCGCTGTAGCACGTAGTGTGTAAAAAACACCTAATCTCTGTTGCATCACTCAGTATAGAGTTTTAAACTGACTCTGGAAGCAACATCAGCACAAGAACTGTGCATTGAGCTTCACGAAATGGGTTTCCCAAAACCGAGCAGATCCACACAAGATCACTGGACTTTGGAGCAGTAGAAATGTGTTCTTTGGTGTGATGAAACACGCTTTACTATCTGGTAGTCTGACGGACAAATCTGGGTTTGGTGGATGCCAGGAGAACGCTACCTACCAGAATGCATAGAGCCAACAGTAAAGTTTGGTGGAGGAGGGATAATTGTTTGGGGCTGTTTTTCAGGGTTTAGGCCTGAAAATCTAAAAAAGGGTAATGTTAATGTTACAGCGTACAAAGACATTTTAGACAATTATATGCTTCCAAGTTTGTGCCAACAGATTGGGGAAGGCCCTGTCCTGTTCCAGCATGACTGTGCCCCAGTGCACAAAGCGAGCTCCATAAAGATACCGTTTGATCTCGTCCTACATCAGGGCTTAACCTCGCAGGGCTCTTTTGACTGAATGGGCCCAAACAGCACAGACACACTCCAAAATCTTGTGGAAAGCCTTCCCAGAACAGTGGAGGCATGTGGCAGTAGTCCGACCTACGGCAACAACGGCGACTGCGAGAGAAGGTGGGAAGGCGGTGCTCGAGCCTCACAAGGTAAGAGCCGCGAGTGACAGCGGAAGGAGAACAACAGCCACGAGAGGAACAAAGGCAGTGCACAAGTACCGAACTCCGCCTCCTGGGCCTCGCCTTCTTGCCTCTCGTGGCTGTCATCTTCCTCCCGTCCTTTCTTGCAGCCATCATCGGTGCCCGTGGGTCAGGTGACTGCCACAAGGCTGTTGTAGTTGCATATTAACGCCTATAGTTTTGGAACAGGATGTACAACAAGCTCATATATGTCTGATGGTCAGCTGTAAACATTATTTTGGCTATATCCAAAGCATGTTCTTAAGATGCTTGAATACAATTAAACAGTGTCAGTTAAAGACAAATGCTGGCAATATAATCAAACTGTGTTTTTCCTAAAACATTAACTAAAAGTAAAGCTTCCATTTCCAATGATTCTCCTAATTGCCAGCCTGTAGGACAGCTGGAGTTTAGAAAGTAAGAAGGACAAGCAAATGAAAGGAGTCAATCCTGAATCCCATCAGGGAAAACTGAGGCTGGCACTTAACTTTCAGTGATAGGGCTTTCTCCATTTTTAATGTCGCTGAGGCTGAACGACAGAGCTATCCTAGGGAGCCGTTTGTGGAGCTAATTTTTATTCTAGATCTTCTTCAGGACAACATAATTAAGTCAAAGTATGAGTGCTGTCAGCACAGGAAGTACAGAGATCTCTCCAGTGCCTAATTTGGAGCATTGCAAGGCACATTAAACAAGAAACACAGTTTAAAGGAACTTTGTCTATAATACAACAGGACAGAATGTCTTATTTTTAAATTGAACAACACTATGCATTATATTAAACTGACTAAAACAAGTTCATATAGTCCTGCAATACACAATGATCTTAAAGGCTTAGTATCAACAAGTGACTGAATGCTGTGGCCAGCCACTTTAGACAACCGTCTTGTGCCGAGTTGTGACTCTCCTGTTTAAGTTACACAGTATCCTAAACCCCATCAATAAGTCTGTGCTTTGACTGGGTCTTAATGAACACCTGGATGCAGTTTAAATTGGTTGAGAGACGTTTTAGGAATACATTCATAAAAAGGATTTGGGTGACTATTGAACTACAGTGTTTGCTTACAAAAAAGTTGACATTTCCATCTCTAATTTCATTTTTGTTGCAACTTATGTATCTTTGGCTTCTTGGACTTCCCTATGACCTACCGATAAGGACATTATTATTATTATTATTATTATTATTATTATTATTATTAATCTAACTATACCTCTCCACCATGCTGTTTATGTGTGTTAGTATTTGATATAAGAAGTATGTGAGGTTTATCTTACTGTTCAAATTAAATTTATGCATAAATGCACTATTTTTTTAAAATAAAAAATCTCCATAGACAAACTTTGGCAGCAGAACCAGTCAGTGTCATAGGACACCACCTTTGCACTGTCATAGGACGCCACCTTTGAAATTGGAAAAAGGTGAAATTTCTGTCCTGCACTGTAAAAAGTGTCTCGTCAGATCTACCTAAAAAAATGACTTTATGTGGTAACAAGCAAATTAACTGGTTTTATTCACCTTAAAAAACGCTTTGAAAGAACGATTCTTTCAATCAATGTTGTTTTTTAAATTGAATCAAACTAGTTCAATTACTTGTTACCATATGAAGTCATTTGTTTAGGTAGATCTGATGAGACACTTTTTACAGTGTTATAGATCAACTCTAAGTGCTATTATTGCAAAATGGAAGCGCCTAGAAGCAAAAACTCTAAAATCTAAAGTTTTGCAATATTTCATGTACTGATAAACAATTTTTCTGCCAAGGTTGAGAGGAAAATGTTTTGACAACATTCCTCAAATATTACAGACAATTTCTGTTTCCATGGTCTATACTGGCAAACTATTTGAACCATTAAACAGTTTTTGCAAAAATTCCTTTGCATAGCTTCCAAGTTAAAACACACTTATAATACAAGTCATGTGGTTGAAAAATGCTGTACTGCTTTAAATAATTGTCCACTGAAAGGCTTTTTGGTGAACCAAAGACAGTTCTTCTATGCAATCCCTCCAAAGAACCCCTTCGCCACATTTATTTTTGAAAATGTAGTAATGTCTTTAGGCAATGATTAAATTTATATGAATTATCATTTATATGATTACTATATAATACTGTTAAAAATGAGAGATCCAATAACTCAGAATTATATAGTAACTGATTACACTGCTTTTCTTAAGTTAACTTGGGGACAAAAGAGTTCACCCAACTGAAAGTTCTTAGTTGAGTCAAAAGTTCTCTTAATTTTTTAGTTCTGCATCTCAACTAGGTAAATAAAATATCTTTGTTTTTTTAAAGGATTCTTTCCATCTTACAATCCTACTAGACATTATTTCCCCTTGGGTAAAAACTTATAGATGGCTATGACATTGCTGAGGTTCAAACTCAAATCTCCGGTTGGGGGTTTTGGCCCCCGTTGCACCACTCAGGAACACATGAAGCAACTCAGATTTTGTGTCCATAAATGTTTAATACACTGTAGAAAATATGTGCTGTTTTAACCTTGAAGAGTGGGGTCATTTCACATGGTTCAACTGTCTAACATTTCATCCAAACATCAGGAGATCGTAAGTTTGAATCCCAGCAATACCACAGCTGTCCATGTCCTAAGAGGAAACAATGCCAGATGGGACTGTGTGATCAAAGGAGTGCCAGTTAGTTGAAACTGAGTAAGAAATGCAGATTCTATCTTGTTCATCTTATTGAGTTGCAGACCTACAAACAGTAGCTGACAGAATTCTTGACTTAACTGAGAAGTTTGAGCTGGGTAAACTCTGATGCCCTCAGGTTGAGTCAACCCAAGAAAAGCCACATAATCAGTTACTATATGATTTAAGTTGAGCAGTCCTGTCATTTTTTACAGTATGAGGATTTTCATTGTCGAAAAGATGCTCTATTGACGCTGCCATTGAAAGCATAGTACTGATTGCTCACCTCATTGTAGTAAGGACAGTTTGTTGATTCTTTCATGGACGTGTACTTCTTCTCTTCTCCGATCTCAACACACACCACAGGATCCATGTTCAAGCCCACCAGTTGGCGAGCCTCAATCACTGTGACACTAATCTGCAAGGCAAATCACATATTTAATAACTGGAATTATTAAAACTTCCCACAACTGTGGACAGAACCCATTTTGATCAACTGAACAAGCTGATAATTGGATGTGTTACGCATTCATTATTAATTCAATCGCTCCCTTAAATATTCTGTCTGATGATAGTGTAGAACAAACACATCATGTGTCTAATTATTTATGATCTAGCTCTGTAGGTTTAGCTGCTTTATGTATAAGCGGTCGCTAAATAGCAAATGAACAACAGAACAGATTTTAGAAGGAAATAGCAGGCAAAAGGGAAAGACTCTGGATGATTGATGTCAGTATATAAAATTACACTATTAACTGGGCCATTGACTGGGAAACTTCATTCATTCTTTCCGCTTCTCTTTCATGCTATTACTCTCTCATTCTTGGTCGCAAAGCAGCAAAGCTACTAAAAAAACATTCACAACATTCTCCCTCCATTTAAAAAACCCAAATCCTATCTGAAAAAGCTTGCCTTCAAAAGAAAACAAAGTCATCCAGCTCAGGATTGCATTAAATTATGCCCCAAAAGACTCTCAAAAGCTATAACAAGCAAGAGAAGGAAAGAGGAGCCTCCTGTTTCCAGTACAACCTCTATGAGATATTTCGGTGAAGGGTAAAAGATACATGAAAGCTATGTTAAAATTCTACTCTGCTGCTGCATTATAATGGATTTGGTTCTGAGGGTATAGAACACAGAAGCCCTGCTGAGCACAATTAGCCTGTAAACATCAAAGGGTTAGGTTAATGTAGTGTCTCAGGGCTCATTTGAGAGAGCTCTGTATGAATACTGCAGCAAACAATGGGAAGAAAATGTTCTCATATCATGGTCAAAATGCAAACAGGCTGACAACCAAAAGCCTGGATGATCCACAGTAGTCCACTATCGTCTGGTACAACTTTGAGCCTCTGAATATTGTGCAGAACCTACAAAATTTAAGAGTTCCTTTTCCAGTTGTGGGTGCTTCAAAGCTAAAGTAACTTGGCTCTGTTCTCTGCTCTCTGTTCTTTGCTTCTCTCCATACCTGGTAATCCACGGGCCTTCCTGCACTAGGCTCCATCTTAATATCAGGCTTTGATCTGGAAAACATTAAAGGAGTTGAGAGTAAACTTTTCCTTTGAATAAGAATATGAAAGTTTTGAAAGCATATGCAAAAAGCTGTATGTCTAAGACACCCGTTCATCCAAAGAATCTTCTTAAATCAAGGGTATTAATAGGGAGTTTGACCCTTTTCTTGAAGTAACAGTCTCTACTCTAGATGTTGGAACATTGCTGTGAGGATTTGATTGCATTCAGCCACAAAGAGCGTTAGTGAGGTCAGTGACTGATGTTGAACGATTAGTTTTAGACACAAACTTCACTCTAGCTCTTCCCCAAAGTATTGGATGGAGCTTATTCACTCCATAGAATGTAGCTCCACTTCTCCACAGCCCCATGCTGGGGGGCTTTATCCTCTTCTAGCTTGACACTGGGCAGGGTGGAACTCATATGCAGCTTCTCCAGAGCATCCTATTCTATTGGCAATGCTCTTCTATGGAAAAGTACCAAGTAATAGAACTAGAAAGGGTGTCTGGATCATTTTGGACATACAGTGTAAATCAGATTTGAGTTGTGAGAGTGGATACTAACCTCTTATTAGACACATTAGTGGTCACTGCAGTGACAGAGGCCAGTGAGATTGCATCAGGGTCAAGCCCACCCCCTAGACGCATAGCTTTACGATCAAGATCCTCCGTTTCCAAGATGGCAGGATCGTCTAGATGCGAAGAGACAAATAATCAGAAGGGAATTGTTGCTAAAAAGATAATGCCTCATTAACACTCTACAATGACATTCTTTGATGCAGAAGAAAAACACAGAGCAGGTGGGCTACCAGACCATTTAACTCATTATTGCCCCCGCTATAAAGCTATATTAATTCGGCAAGTATAAATTCCAGCTGATGCTTGATGTTCCTCAATGTGCCTATAAAACCTGAATAGAATTCTTTTTCTATGCCTCTGCCTTGAGCACTGTTAGTACAGTACAGAACTACTGACATAATCTGCTGACATAATCTTTCTCTCCATTTAGATGAAAAAAAAGCAAATGTTGTGCTTTAGGGGATCCAGTGTGAGGAATATGTATGTATATCTGCTTTTCTTTTGTCTCGCATTGAGTAAACTAGAGTGGAAAACATTCTGCAGCTTCTTGGAAGGATGCTTATAATTCAACTGTAGATGCAGATATTTACCTCCTTTCTTGTGGTTGTCTTTGGAGCTGCGTACCTTTCCAAGCTTCATGGCTGAAAACACTCCTTTTCCTGCTCTGAAATTCAAGACAAGATTTTAAATACAGGTGATGACAAGCATAATGACAACCTCAGCATTAATATATTTTTTTATTCCTGTGCATCTGTGAAGAGTTGAATTCAGTGTGAATTCAGTTCCTTACTTAAAATGCATCGACTGTATTAACGTTCTTCTCAGTAGCTTTGGTGCATTTCTCGATATTTGCACAACAGTAAGAGTATTTCTCAAAACAATTCATACAAATGGAACCATAACAATAGATTACAAGCAAAAGCCTGTAACCTGCTCAAAAACCTTCAGATCATATCCCAAAATTAAGTATTTATATCAATGAATACGTCAGTGTCATCAGAATAACAAATTCTTGCGGTATTGCTAATGAACAAGACACCCAAAACACTTAACTATATATATATATATATATATATATATATATATATATATATATATATACACACACACACACACACACACACACAACAGTTAGTTCCAGCCATGCAAGCTGATTGGTTGAGAAGCGTTCTAACCGTGCTGTTATTTCGCCATAACATCACTCACTGTGACGCTGTTGCTAAGCAACAACTTTGACAGCTGTAGGAGATGCTAACGCCATTTGAACGTTTTTACTTATTTTGCACACAAACAGAAAATGGACACTTTTAAGATCACATTACGGCAGCTGCGACAGAAGAACACCTAAACAACCTGGAATTAGCCAGAAATTAACCGAATACCATTCGCCAAACAAAGTGGGCTGTAAAATGCTTTACAGACTGGCTGGAACAAAACAACATTAATAATGATGTAGCAAAAAAGGCAACACTGAGATAACTTGATAGTTTTTTTAAGTTTTATGGCTAATTCCGTACTTCAAAAGGCAAGGCTTACAGCAGACTGTGCAGCGAGTGAGCGGAGTTCACACACACACGCGTTACAGTATATGTAGAGTATGCATCTGTGTGACAATACTGCATACTGAAACATGCAAGTGGAACGCTGTGATATAAAGTGTTGCAGTAAGTACAGTATTACAGTACAGAGTACACCGTTGGATTACACACCTGTCCTCTCCATGAAATGTTTGAATGATTGAGGACACAGTTGTTCTCCCAACATTACGCTGCACCCTTCGACCAGCCTTAGCCATTGTAAGGCCATGATTGATAATACGGGCCACAAATGCGGCCCTTATTTTATGGGGCATGTGCCCACTTCCTTGGCCTTTTCTACCTCTTCCTCTGTTTTATCTCCCTACCCTTCCAACACGTATCCTTACTCTTCTTCTTTCTGGCTGTTGGCCTGTTGTTTTCCATTGTCAGAAAGTGTAAGACTGTGCTGTGCTCTGTCTATACATGCTTGCCAATTCAAGGTTCATGAGATGCACCTCTGAGCTATTTTAGAGAATTGGTTGATCTTTGGTTGATCTAAAGCATCACACACTCCCCTTCATCAGTGAAAGTCATGATTCTAATAATCAGTTCAGGAGACATTTATCAAAAAATACTAATAGAAAGGTATAAAATATTCTTTCACAGGTTAAAAGTAATCGATAATGTAGAAAGCAGCAGACAATTGTACAAAACTATTTGCATGATTATGCCAAAGCATTTGATATTTGTTCAAAATGAATAAGAAATGGCTTTTATGATGTACACAAGTGACTAGATGATGTGGAGGGTGGACAATTTAATTTTATTTATTTAATTTTGAGAAATTCTATTCTGACCTGAGTAATGCACCAAAGTGACTGAGAAAAACTGTAAGAGAATAGTTCAGGTACACTGAATTTTCTCAGCCCACATCCCAGAGTTATAGCATATTACTACTGTGTAAGGCATGCAGACAGTTTACATTATTATTATAAGGTTGATGATAAATGTAAAATGCTGCAAGGTGCAAAACACAAAAAACAAGCATTTAATTTTTTGCCTTTATAAAATGAGCTTCTTCATTTGTACACTGGCCATGAACACTTTGAGGACCTCCAGCTTTTAAGACTGAAGGAGCCACTGACAAAACGCTACCTTGGGAATAATTCAATAACCCATGCTTTGTATCCACTTGTTGCGAAGGTGACACTCATCAGCACTCAAACCTTTCAGGCGTTTAAACACCTTTGGGCTTTTAACAGCAGTTTGGAAAAGAAATCATGATATTCTCTTCATACCAAGGATGACATCTTCATGAATACTAAGATCCAAAGTATAAGTAAAGGTACAGTATTGTGTGAAAGTCAGAGACCACAATATCTATTTATTTAATTTCTACTTTATGCACAAAATATTAATTTATCAATGTCAGATAGCATAAAACATATATTTAATTTATATAACAAATAAAATATAATATTTCACAGTTCAGTGTGTCCACACTGCCTTTATTACAGTTTACATTCTTTTCAGGAGACTTGCTTGAAATATGCAGGGATATTTTTTAACCCCTCCAAAATTTAGTCTTGAACTCAGAAGTTGGTTGCATTTTCTTAATCTCAAGTAAATCCCAATTACAAATTGAGACTCTGATGGTGACCATTTTGGTGGTCTACCAGGTCTTGCATGGTTTTTAGGAGTCCCATTTTCTCTGTATCTTTTAGTATATATTTATTTTTAACTACAGTTTTGGAAACGCTTGTTTTTTCACTTGTCTTCTCTTTGACTTTCCTCTTTATTGTGCAAGTGGATTATTTTATATTTAACCTCATCAGAAATAATTCAGTAACTTGTAGTTAGTTAACATTTTGAATGGAAATTAAATGAATCAACAAATTTCTGACTTTTGCACAGTACTCGATGTGTTTTTGTACTAAATTGAAAAGCAGCCATAAAAACATTATTTGTAAAATTTCATGAGAAGCTTCAGTGTTTCCCAAAATTTTAAAAGCAACACATTTCTTTGTCATTTTCATCACATTTATGATGTTTTACATTCAGTACTTCATGATGGAAAGTTTCAGAGATGTTTGTCACCCTGATGAGACAGGCATTTCACCAGAGAAAAACCCAGTTACAATAGAACCGCAAGTATCCGGTAACACTGCACTGATATTATCCCGATCGGATGTCAACATGACTACAAAAGGCTGGTGATGTCATAGCCTGGCTCGACAAATGCGAGCTCTTAATAATTTAACAAGGGGGGCACGATTGGCCAATTAGCTGTGGATATAGATCCGTGTCCAAGAACAGATGAAAGCAATCGAGAACAGTTTGTTCCTTTATTGTCTTTCTTTTAAAAGTCTTAATTAGTGCAAAAATGACAGAAGCGCCTACCCAATTACTCAAAACCTCAAATCCATGTACAAATTGATCAATTTACATCACAAAGTGTTACAACACAAAGGATTCATTTTACAGTGGCTATCTGTTCTAATGGATAACTATGACAAGTAAAAGTGAAAAAAGTAACAGGGAACCACTGCGTCACTGGAATATTGGAATAAGACAATGCTTGAAACACTCATCTTTCTAAACTGTTGACTGTCAACAGTAGGACCGTTTACTGAGTCAAGGCTTAGGTCACTGCAGTCTAAATGATGGTTATCTTTTCAGACCAAATTTAATTATTCAGATCATGCATCCCACATACATGCATTACAAATATATTCATGAATAAACATTCACTAAATCAGTTACAACCACTCATATCCATGATGAAGTAAAATATCTAAACCATTACTGGGAAAGCATCCTTCATAAATACACACAAAAACCTGTATCAATTCCACCAGCACAACACTTTAAATACTCTTTTTACCATCAGCCAAGATGTATACAGGATCACACAGATGGGATCAGAAGTCCTATAGAGCACCGGTTAATACACTAATTCATGTGTAAACGGTACATACCATAAACACTGGATACTCACTACCTCCAAGGGCCTCCAAAGTGACCAAAATAAAAGGTACCACTGAGCCAGGTAGTCCTGAGCTGCTGCCTGGCTATATGTCCATTTCAACTGGATAATCTAAGTAAAGTCAAGGGGGCAGAGCCACTAGTGGGAGTAAGAGGGGGGTCAACAATGAACACGGAACCTGAGATGGCATTCGTGGAAACCAACATGTGCACGCACACGCACACACACACACACACACACACACACACACACACACACACACACACACACACACCCACAAACTTTGGGCTGATAATATGGACGATGACATCAAGCAGTATTGATATTACGTGATTTATGGTTCTTTCATTGTCTTTCATTCTAATTTTTGGTTAGTTCAAGAATGTATACAAATGATTGTAAAGAACATCACCAACTAATTAAATGTACATATATAATGCCATATAAAATACTATAACAAAGATTTTGAATCTCTAACAGTAAAAAAAAAAGTAAAGTTAAAAAATAAAAACAAACTTGGTTAGATGAGATGAGACTCCAGCAGATAATCTAAGGTCAACAGAAAAAATGATGAGCTTCTTCAGAAGAAGCATGCTAGTTTGTTGCTTTTGCCTTTCGGTTGATTTGATGGACCCTCTCCTCTATTAAAGACCAGACCCAGCTTAGCACACTGAGCTGGATGATATATGCTGGGTTGTGCCTGCAAATTGGTAGCATTGGCTTTACTAATAATTTGTTTTTTACTCAGACGGCATGTAACACTGTTAACGTCCAGTATTTGTTCGGTTGGAAACCAAAATATTGGCAAACTGGCAAAATACTATAAAATAGCAGTAATGAGTAGTAATAAGGCTAGCCCAGCTGGTAATGATATGATGATTATATCACTATCGGGGAAAATTCAAGCTATAGGGTGAGACTCTGTAATGCTTATGTGATACTTCTTAACCACATTTGGAGACGATAACTGTTTTATTTTACCAAGTCAATTAAGATGCATGGTTTATTTAAAAAAACTAACAAATAAGGAATATAAGTGGGCTAAAGCTGTGTAGTGCAGGAAAAAGACACCAAAGTACACAAAACCAAACAAACAATCTTGCTCTAGAAATCAGCATATAAAGATCATCTTCCCAAATGTCCAACAACAAGCACAAACCG